AGGACCCGGCGCCTGCTGCGGATAGATTCCTTCTGCAACACCTCCCCCAAGTGGCTGCCCGGCCTCTGCTCCCTATCTCTAAGAAGGAATTTGCTAAAGGCAACTAACTTTAAATGACTTTATTAAGACTATACTTCACATTGAGTTAAATTTCCCTCCCTTCAGCATCCACACAATGACCCTAGTTTGCTCCCCAAAGCCAATCAGAACAGATCTAATTCCAGGGAGGCTTCTTACAGCAATAGACCCAGAGTTACTGTGTCAGCTTGTGACTCTCAGCGAGTTAGCAACGCCCTCTTGGATTTAAAAGATACATAAATAAATAATCTTTTGAAGACACTACCAGCTCCGAGAGATGAGCTGGGTGTACATGGAAACCATGCTGCAGAGACAGCTGTCACCTTCATCTCTCCTGCACTGAAGCCCCCTGCAAGTACCGTCACACAGCCTCTGCACACCCTCTTACCCAGAGAAAACATCCACACTCCCTTCACTGTGCCCCTTAGAATATGCTTTCAGGACACTTTGCCACCCGGAATTTATTTCCATTTATCAATGTGGTTTCATCTGTCATTTTCCTATTTTTTTTTTAATCATCCATTGTTTTTCCTCAATTGCCAGAGAGCACCTGAGAGAGCCAGAGCGATGGGGAGGGGGCAGCATCCCCCTCCATGGGGCGTGGTCATGCCACAGTTCTCTGTCTCTCCATCCTTTCAGGACCTGGGGCATTATGTACAAGATCCCAGGGCCAGAATTCAGACTGCAGTCAGCCATGTGGGATCCAGGTCCTTTAACCAATAGGCCATGGGGCCAACCCTATACTGCTCACTCTAAACCATTGCTACTTTGGGGACAGACCATGCCAAAGGCATCCTCCGGGTGAGCCAAGAGGACAAAGCACAGAGGAGACCCTCCCAAGGAGCTGCCTCCCATCAGGACAGTGCTGACTGCGCCCCAATGGTGACCCACAGGGGGGCCCAGTGGAACGTCTGGGACCCTGTCAGCCCACCAACCCTGATCATCACTAGGCAGAGTCAGCCTCCTTTCTTCCCTACCCCACTGAAGAATTCTCTGGAAGCATGGCTTCTTCAACATCCTGGATGATCCCAGATGTCTCCATGAAGGGCTGGTCCCATCATGGCATAGACAGCTCCAGAGACAAGACATGGTGTACTTGTCTGTCCATCTGTCTCTCTGCTGAGACTTAGGGGGCTCCAGTGAATGTTCTGCATAACTAACAGGCCTCCCCTCCCGTACTCAGCCACCCAGGATATGCTAAGAAATGCCTGTTACAGCACAACTCAGAGGACTCGGAACACTCAGATCTTCACAGCCAGGTCTTTCATACCTTTGATAGAGGAACAGTCTCCAGCTGTGTGGCTCAACCAAATATCAAGAATATTCTTTCTTCTACTCTGCTTGGCTATGACCTGTCCTAGCATATGCTGTCTCCCAGAAGAGGCGGACACACACTAGATCTGGAAGGGAGTTGCATTTATTGTTATTGTTATTATTATTAGGCACATGTGCTCACCAGAGAGACAGAGAGGGAAAGTGAGAAAGCAAGTCACCAGGTCTGGGACTTGAACTACGGTCAGCCATGTGGGAGTCCAGCACCTTAACCACCACACCACCTCCTAGCCCCAGAGAATTGCATTTCTTCACTCATAAACTTGGTTTCCTGTTTATGCACTTGGTGGAGCTGAGCATTTCAGGGAGTCTGAACTCAGAACCAGCCAAGGGAAGGCTGATGGGGCCCCCTGGTGGACCTGGGGGCCATGGGGGGGGGTGCATATATTGCTTGGGCTATGCTTTTGGAGAAAGCTGCACTCAGGTGGATGTGCTGAAGTCATGGGCCTGAGTATCAATTGAAACCACCACAGCGGCAAAACACAGCACTCTGCAAGGCTGACCCACATAAATTCACAGAGCTTAATACACAGATGCTTAATACATATTTGTTGAATACATAATTGTGTCCCCAGATCGTTCCTCTTTAAATGAAAACGCACATGGGTTCTGGGTCCATGTCTGGAGTATGCCAGGCATGCGAGCCCAGGGCCCAAGGCTGGCTGAAGCTTGGGGTGATCTCAGTGTCAAGACCCTGTTGGGGGTGCTGTCTCTCTGTCACTCTCTGTCTCCCTCACTCATGGAAGAAACACATTTTAAAGTGGAAGAGAAAGAAACTGCCGGGTCTGCTCACCACACCTCCTGCTAGGCTACATCACCCCTATGCTGCATTTCTTTTTTTTTAACTTTAAATTTTATCAAAATAGCACTGGCCCCTAATTTAAATATGTAGACTTTTATGAATCCTATTTTTACCATCCAAAATGATAGATGGCATTCCCTGTCTTGTGTCATCTGCAAATTTAATCTTTAACCTCACATCTGACAGAAATTCAAACTTGCCACTCAGAAAAGTCACAATAACCTCTCTAGGAAAATCCTTATTGTAGTTATTTAATGAGCTGCAATTTTAAAAAGCAACTAAAGATCTTGAGGACTCCATGAATCATGGGATTTCTCTGAAACAATTCATGTTATTTGGAGCTTGCAGACCCAAGCATCATCCAATTCTTGAGAACCTAAGAGATATTCCCAAAATGGCAAGGCATAAATGACTGTGCGCACGCTCATGCCTCGACAAAGCCTCCAGGAAGACATCTGGAAAATGGCGGGATGCCTCCAAGCTTCCACAGAACCCTGCTTCTACCCGCCACGTCTTCATGGCCAAGGAGCTAAGTGGGTCTTCTCCAGGTGAGCCCAGGTTATTACAGGACTGTCTACAGGGGAAGGCCACAGCCAGGGGCAGACGCCAGGACTGCCCTCCCCCAGAATCGACACCTCATGGGAGAGAATTCTCTCTTCCTGGGGCCAGCAGGTGGTGTGGTGGTTGAGGCAGTGGACTCCCATATGGTCAACCATGGTTCAAGACCCAGACTTGGCAGCTTGCCTTCTCACTCTCCAAATTAAAATAATAATAATAATAAATGTAATTAATTTTTTTTAACAATTCCCTTTTCATAAGGAAAGCACAGGCTATGGGTTACGGAGAAAGAGAGGTGAATACCCAACAGCCCTTCCTCTCCTCCCACACAGCAGCGCTGGGCATCACTCTGCTCATTCCTCCCAGACACACACACACCGCACACACACTTTCTGATTCCTGTTCTAGACCATGAATCCTAACTCAGAGGTTAGGAGCCATGTCTGTTCACCTTAAATTCACAGAGCTTAATACACAGATGCTTAATACATAAAAATTGTGTCCCCAGATGGGTCCCCTTTAAATGAAAATTATAAAATTGATCATATTCTGGGCCATCAGGTGGTGTGGTGATTAAGGTGATGTACTCCTACATAGCCGACTGTAGTTCAAGTCCTGGACATGATGGTTTGGTTTCTCACTTTCTCTCTCTCTCTCCCCAACTGTCTCTGTCTGGTCAAATTAAAAAATAATAATAATAAATAAAATTAAATAAATAATTACTTTAAAAACTGATTGTATTTTTATCCATTTACTTAAAGATGCAACCATCTTTTTTTATAATTATTTTTTAACTTTATTTATTTACTTTTTTTTTTAATTTGACCAGAGAGGAACAGAGAGAGAGAGAGAGAGAGCAAGCCGCCAGTCTGGGACCCAAACCACAGTCAGCCATGTGGGAGTGCAGCACCCCCAACCACCACACCATCTGCCGGCCCGATCCATCTTACTCTATTACCTCCCCATCAGGACAATCTGGTTTGGGGGTTATAGTATACGACTGGAAGTTCAATTCTTCTCCGTGATAAAGGGATTATTTAAGCCACTGTTCAACATTCATTTTTCAGATATATGAAGCTTGTCTATTCATATCCTAAGGTTTTCCTTGTCTTTTATCTATTATCAGCCAAGTCTCTTTTCGTAAGTGGGAAATATTAAATAAATGACTGCTCTCATAAAATAAAGAAGTGGCTAGCAGGAATAATCTGTAACTTCTGTGAATAAGCTTTTCCTTAGTGTCTAAAATAATAAATACCATTCACAGACCAAAGACTATGTGCAGTGAGCTTCACGAATTGGTCCCCAGCCCTTGTTCAGTCTGCCATGTGGCAGGGACACTCACGAAACCAGGCCTCAGAGATAGTGAGTGGCATAGCCACAACCTCCCTGCAGTCCTGGCTGGCTGGAGGCAGGCATAGACCGAGGCGCGAGACCCTGCTGGGGGTCCCTGTCTCCCTCCCTTCCTCTCTCACTTCTCTCAAGGAAAAAAACAGATTTTTAAAAAAGGATCTAAGGGGCCAGCAGGTGGTGTGGTGGTTAAGGCACTGGACTCCCACATGGCTGACTGCAGTTCAAGCTCTAGACCTGGCAACTTGAAACTCACACCAGATGTGTGCGAATGCCTGCCCAAAATCCCAAGAGGAGAATGGAGAAGTGATTGTGGTGTGGCCATCCCCCCAGGGAGTCATTTCTCGTTTTCTCTCTCTCTGTCTCTTTCCAGCAAGCACACGTGCCCTATGACCAAAGCCTTAAAAACAAAAAACAAAAAAACAAAAAAAAGAATTTAGGGGAACCAGCAGTTAGTGTAATGGCTATGTCGCTGGACTCCCACGTAGTCGACTGCGGTTCGCATCCCGGACCCAGTGGCTTAAAACTCACACCGGGCATGTGTGCGTGTGTGCCCAAGATCCCGAGAGGAGAATGGAGGAGAAGGGATTGCGGCGTGACCATCCCCCCTGGGGGGTGATTTCTCGCTTTCTGTCTCTCTGTCTCTCTCTGTCTGTCTGGCGAGCGCACGTGCCCTATAGCGAAAAATCTCTCCAAAAAAAATAAATAAAATAAATTTTAAAAAAGAATTTAAAATCTACTTATTTTGTTTAACGTTTCTGTTTCCTCCAAAAGTTAGGCAAAGTAATATAATGTCTCGTTTCCACCAAAGAAAATGATGCTCTGTTGCTGAAGACACAGTTCTCAGTCTCCACAAGCCAAGGACGGTCAACACTTGAGGAAGCACTCTCAGTGAAGGTTCTATTTGAATGACCGACTGGAAAAGCACCGACTTTCAGGGGCTCTTTTGACCCCCCTGAAAGTGCTCGCATCGTACACCCACACAGTGTCAGTCCCCTCTCCCACGACGCAGTCTGGGGTCCAGTGAGGGAAAGGGAACCGGCAAGCAATGACTCTCGCGTCATCCTCTAGTTCGAGTTCGAGTTTCTTCTCCAGCTGCAGCATCTGTGGAGAACAGCCACTGTTTCAGTGAGGAGTGAGTCAGGAGAGAGGATCTGTGTAAAAATTACTGCGCGTAGAAACGATCACCCCAGGGTACACACACGTCATCATGCCATCCGTTAACACACAGAAAACACATTAACAGCAGTTACGTGAACATCTTGGTACCAGTCATAAATAGGCCATTTTTAGCAGAAGTGCACCATAGACTTCCAGTTTTCTGACTAATATGATAGTAATTAAAATAATAAGCAACTTTAGGACTGACCCCATAGGCTCATGGTTAAGGGAACTAGATCCAAAATGGCTAACTATAGTTCGAATCTCAGCCTCAGCAGCTTGAGGAACAAGTCAAGCTTATGTGCATACCCCAAATCCCAAAATGATAAAGAAAGAGAGAAGGGATTATGGCACAACCACATCCCACGGGAGGTGGTACTTTCTCTCTCTCTCTCTCTCTCTCTCTCTCTCTCTCTCTGGTTTTGCATGCATCCTCTGGCAATTGAAGGAAGAAGAAGAAAAATGAGGAGGAGGAGGAAGGGGAGAGAGGGAGAAGAAGGGGAGAGGAAGAGGAGGAGAAGGAAGAAGAGTGAAGAAGAAGGTACTTTAACTACCTAAACTTTTTATTTATTTATTTACTTTTAATTTGCTATAGGGCTGTGCCTAGAGAGGTGGACCCCAAATGGTCAACTGCAGCCCCAGCAGACTAAAAGACACAGCAAACCCATGTGCATGCATGTCCAAATCTTGATGGGATGGAAAAAGGGAGGGAAAAGGACTGTGGTGTAACCCTGCCCCCTTGGGGAATGGCTTACCTCCCTCTCCCTCTCTCTCTGTCTCCTCCCCCTGCCTCTCTCTCGCCCTCCTTGGTGTACACACCCTTCAGCAATAAAAAAAATTATCTGCAAGTCCTAAAAGTACATTACCACCTTCATATCCTAAAAATATCTTTACATTTGAGATCATTTCAAGTTTACAGAAAAGTTGCTGGTTTAAAACAAATAACCCCGTGTTCCACTGCCCAGGTTTCCCGTTTTTTGCCATGGTGCTGCATTTGCTGTCTTCTCTGTGAACACGTTTTCCTAAGCTGTCTGACAGGAGGTGGCAGGCAGCGTGCTTCTTTACCCCCTGACACCTTGACGTGTGCTTCCTAAGATGAGTATTTCCTAAACAGTCCCGCAGTCACTGCCTGGGAAGCGTAATAACATATTCCAATACGAACAGTTCCACTAGCACTCCAGGGCTGTCACGGTCCCAGTGATGTCCCAGAGGACATTTCCCTGGCAGGATCCAGGCAAGGGCACTTTTGCATTTAGCTACAACGGTTCTTTGCTCTTTGGTCTGAAACAGCTCCTAGATCTGACAGCGCCACCTTTGGTGACTGGACCACGTGGCCCTCACCTGGGGCCCCAGTAGATGCCTGGGATCAGCTCAGCAGGCCCTCGCCTCTCGGTGAGGCCGCCAAGGCCCAGGACACCCTTCTGCTCTTCATGGTGATATGAGCTGCTTCGTGAAGGCGGGCTCTGGCATCTCCACGGAGTAGCGACTGCTTTTCCTTTTATAATCAGTGCACAGTCTGCGAGGAGACACCATGAGATGACGTAAACAGCCTGTTCCTCACCGGGCAGTCCCAGCGCTACAGCTAGTATTCACGGAGGGGTCTGGCCTGAATGGATCCTTATTATCGTGCCTTCAAAGTGGCGATTTGCTAATGCCATCATTTCTTCTAGACATGCAGTCAGCATTCTACTGTAAAAAAAGAGCTTTCTGGGACAGCAGGTGGAGTAGTAGTTAAGGCACTGGACTCCCACGTGGTTAACCATGGTTCAAGCCCTGGACTTGGTGGCTTGCTTTCTCACTTTCTCTCTCTCTGGAGATCACATGTGCCATGTAGCAAATTAAAGTAATAATAATGACAATAAATTAAATTAAGTCTTAAAAAAAAAAAAAGAGCTTTCCTTTCTCCTTCACTCCCTCTCACCATCTGTCTACCTAGTGTAAATAGGAACATTTAGATTCTTGGTTCATTCAGTGGGTAGTATCCCATTACTGTCCTTTTTTATGCTAACGCTTAAATTGTCCTATTTTGGCCAATGGGTCCTTCATCCTTTGGGTAATGTCCCCCAAATATTTTGAGCACTTCCTTATATTCTGGCTCACCAAAATATTCCATGCTTTTGTACCTTCCTTTCTCCGGCCCTAGGCCGGCCATTTCTCAAAGATTCCTGGTTCTCCTCGTAGAAAACAGTATTTAGAAATAGATCTGAGACCAGCAAAAGAGTAATGGTTATGCTACTGAACTTTTGCCAACCATAGTTCAAGTCCCAAAGCTGGTGGCTTGAAACTCACGCCAAGGACAATTGCGTGTGCCCAAAATTTCAAGAGGAGAATGAAGGAGAAGGGATTGTGGCATGGCTGTCCCCACTGGGGATGACTTCTCATTTTCCGTCTCTCTGTCTCTCCAGCAAGCACATGTGCCCTATTGCAAAAAATCTCTTTAGAAGAAAAGAAACATATCTAAGCAAAAACTACTCCCTTTAAACATAATTGATGAAGGGCCTGCAGGTGGCATGGAAGTTAAGGTGCTGGATCCCACACGGCTGACTTCATGGCTCAAGTCCTGGACCTGGTGGCTTGAGAATCACAGGTGCATGTGCATACATGCCCAGAATCCCAAGAGGAGAATAGAGGAGAAACCCCCCCCCAGGGGGTTGACTTCTCACTTCCTCTCTCTCTCTCTCTCTCTCCATGTCTCACTCTGGTGAACGCATGTGCTCTACAGCAAAAACTAAAAAAATAAAATAAAATTAAAGTAACCAGTTAAAGTGAGACACATGTCAAAAGTGCTGCTACAAAGGTTCTTTCTGACCTATAGCTTTTAGAAGTGCTGGAGAACCCCCAGCATGGCCGATGGCAGGATGAGCCCGGGCACCAATTCCTCACTAGAAACACCACCAAGATGACCAAGTTTATATCCATCCATTAAGGACGGGACATTGCTGTTCTTTTAAGATCCAGCAAAGGATTAAATTTAAAAAAAAAAAATGTTCCTTGAGGGAAAAATTAAACAAGCAAAGAATAAGACAATATGCATTTTCCCAAAATATCAGAGGTTTCTTATGGTAATTTTGCTCATAAAGAGGATAATAGTAAACTTATTCATATTACTATTATCCTTTCCTCTTTTAGTTTCTTTTATTTTCAAATGATTGTCATATGCTAAGTCAAGATAAACCTAAAAATGAAAGGAGCTATTTCAATCATAAGAAATTAACTGACTAAATTACACATAAATATGCAGCGAATCTGGTCTTGATATCATACACAAAGAGAGGCAGCGATGTGTCATGTCTGTCTAATGGAATTCAAAATTACTCACACAATTACAGATTTCACAGTGACACAAATTCATCGTCTAATTACATCTTCAGAACTTTAGACCTGGTGGAAAACAGTTTAAAGGCCTAAGACAGAGCGGCCCCGCCCGCCGGCGGGGTGGAGGGGGTGACAATGCGCCGCCTCCTCCCTAAGCACCTGTTCCAGTTTGGGGCCAGGAGGGCAGCTCACTCTCCAGGAGTGCTTTGCTGACTGTCCCTCGGAGCCCAGCCCTCCAGTTAAGAGTCCCAAGCTCAGACCTTGAACGGCTCCTGTGCCTGACCTGCGCTCCTCACCTTCCGCACACGGCACCTGGCAGGCACGCATCCCCTGCCAGCCCTTCCGGAACCTACCCAGGCTGCTCCCTGATATCTCCACGAATGCTCGAACCTCACGACCCCGACGGCTCTGCAGCACCTTCCCAGCTCAGCTCAGCTCCGGGCGACTCCAGACCTCCAGTAGCTCAGGCCCCCCAGGGGATTGCCACTCTCCCTCTCACCCATGTTGGCTCTGGCAGCTAACCCTGCTGGCCCGGTCCTCAGAGGCACCCAGAATGGGACTGCTGTTCGCCAGCTATTCCGCCCTAATCCAGGCCCCGATGTCCACCTTCCAGGACACCTGAGAGCTCAGCCCGACCTCCTGGTTCCTCCCGGATTGGCTGCAGCCAGGTTGTGGTACCTCTGCTCCTTCCTGCCCCAGCCCCACATCCGCTCCTCTGCTTGTTCTTCAATGGTTCCCGCCCTGACAAAGGCTAGTGGCTTCAGTCTGACTCTTTTCCCTCTCTGACCTCTCCCCTCCTTACCCACACCCACTACACCCCTGCTCTGGCTCCTGAAACTCAGCAGGCACTCAGGCCTCAGTGCCTTGGCAACTGCCGCTTCTCAGTCCACACTCCTTCCCAACCACCCTGGCTTCACTTCCAAACGCCCTTTTCAGGGACGCTCTCCTGGCGGGTCTCTCCTTGCACAGTGAGCTCCACGGCCCCTATCCCCGTCTACAATTGCATATATTCACGAATATCTCATTCAAGATGTGTTCTCCCCACTGGCACAGAAGCACCTGGGCCAGAACGTCCTTTATCTTTATTTTTTTTAATTGCCAGAGGTCACACACCCTAGCATAAGCAGATAGAGAGAGGAAGGAAGCACTTTCCAGTGAGGCGTGGTCACACCACAATCCCGTCTCCTCCATTTCTCCATCCCATTGGGATTTGGGGCACACACACACACACACACACACACACATACATATGCACCCAGCATGTTTTTCAAGCCACTGGGGACAGAACTCACACCCAGTCAGCCATGTGCTATCCAGCCCCCTTAACCACCAGGCTACAGAGCCACCCCATCTTCTGTCTATTCACTAAACATTCCCAGTGCTCAGGACAGGGCCTGGCACATAGCTGAATGAACGAAAGAAGGAAGATAAGTGCTTCAGTTGTGAATCACTCCTCTTCATCGCAACATGATAATATTTTCATCCGTCAATTCATAACAGAACTCTTCACTAAAATTAAGTTAGTTGTTCTTTAAAGTTACAAAAGCTAATAGCTTTCTGGGGGAAATGTAAATAGTGTGTATGTATATATCATACTCGCTCGTTCGACAAATGTTCACTAAGTGTTTTGCGCTGGGTGCAACTATGCCGGAGGGCTGGGGACAAGGACAATGGCCTGGCTCATATCCTGGAACATAGAGCAGTGCCACAGGAAACACCCTGAATCATCAGGTAAAGAAACACGATAACTCATCTGAAGCCAGAGGAAGGACAGCTGGCCTGTGAGTGATCAGGTGTCCACTAACTAGGTGCAGAGCAGAGCAGCTGGTGTCGGAGGGAAGGGCACCACTGCAGGCTCTGGGTCCAGGGACCCAGAGTGGACAGAGGGCTGCATACAGAGAGCGTAGGAAGGCACACTGAGGGGAGGCTGGGGGCTGGCAGGACTCCGCCACACTACGCTCAGGGCCATGTGGGGTTGTGGGGTTGTGGGGGGCCAGCAGGTGGTGTAGCAGTCACATCACTGGACTCCCACGTGGCCGACCATAATTTGAGTCCCAGACCTGGTGGACGGAGTACCATGCTGGGTGCATGTGCGTGTATGCCTAAGATCCCAGGAGGGGGATGGAGGAGAAGGGACTGCAGTATGGCCATCCCCCTAGGGGTGATTTCTCCCCTTCCCTCTGTCTCTGTCTCTCTCTCTCTCTCTCCAGCAAGTGCACACACCCAAAGGCAAAAACCTCTTAAAAACAAAAACACAAGAAGTCACTGAAAGATTTTAAATAAGGATACTATTTAATACTGACCTATTCTACATTTTGAAAAGATGTTCTTAGTACCTAAACTCATGAATATTTGCAAGCTCAGCAGGTGGCATAGTGGTTAAGGCATGGGACTCTCACATGATGGACCGTGGTTTGAGTCCTGGACCCAGCGGCTGAGATCCACTGATGGGTACATGTGTGTCAGGACCACCATATGGCTATGTTGCTGAACTTCCATGTAGTCGACTGCAGGTCAAGTCCCAGATCCAGTGGCTTAAACTCATGCCGGGCACATATGTGTGCATGCCCAAGATTCTGAGAGGAGAATGGAGGAGAAGGGATTGCAGCATGGCTATCCCCCGTCCCCCAGGAGTGATTTCTCACTGTCTATCTCTCTGTCTCTGTCTTTCTGGTGAGCAAACGCACCCTATAGCAAAAAACTCTCAAAAAAAAAAAAAAAGGTATATATTCACAATCCCAGAACTGGATTTATAGGCCCAGATGGGATCCGTCACCCGAGTACAAGGGTACACACCATGTCCACTGTGGGGCAGTCCCAGCTTCAAGCTACAGGCAGCAGAAGCTGGCGTGAGGGCTTCCACAGCCAGAACTCCCTACCCTAGGCTCGTCTGAGGCGCTGCTGGCTTCCCAGTCATCTGCCTGGATGGTAGGTAGCACGGGAAACATTTCCTGACATGCCGGCCACAACTGGAAGACCAGCCAGTGCTCAGAAAATGGGAATCCATTCTAACAGGACAACATATTCAGGCCAGACAGGGTCATGTGACTTGCAGAGGTCAACCTGTCCTCCGGACTTCCCAGGCAGCACGCTCTCCTTCCCCTCATGTCCACCTAAACAAAGTTTGACAAAGGTTAAAAGTGTGGCTCTCCACACGCAGCATCAGCCTTCCAGGCAACAGCAGCCTCTGCACACGCAGCATCAGCCTTCCAGGAAACAGCAGCCTCTGCACCCCGACAGACCGCCAGCGTGGAGACTGCGAGCTGGCTGCTGCTCTTATAGGGATGTGGGTGTTCCTCTTTTCCTTAAGGACAGTGATGCTACGAGTTCCTTAGTTAAGATTTCTCTATGAGGGACTGGAAGATGGCACGGTGGTTAAGGCACTGGACTCCCACATGGCTGACTGTGGTTTGAGTCTCAGACCTGGTGGTTTGCTTTCTCACTTTCCCTTTCTCTCTTTCTAGCTGATTCTCTCTGGTCACATTAAAAAAATAATAATAACAAATAAAATTAAATAAATAATTCTTTATAAGTAAGATTTCTCTATGAACTGAAAAATGGGCAAAAATTACTAAAGCATTCATCGAAATAATAAGACTCTTAGTTTCCGAGTGAACAGGTCCGACACTGTACTTCAAATACACAGGAAGCACCCAGAGTCAGTCGGCAATCACAGGTCATGTGGCAGGTTGCGTGACCACCAAAGGCCACTGCTGCCCCCTGCTGGGGCAAGGCAGCCATGGATTCACAGTCCGCATCCTGGTTCGTCACCCCGCCTCTCCTGACAGCACAGGAGTCCCAGTAATACCTACTTTCTGCTTTTATAAAGCGTGGATTTCACTTGTTTCAAAAATGCAAACTTTTCTGTCTTAGAAGGAATACCGAAACGTCACAATAAGCAGTACATCACCACCAAAATTCGATGTCAGTTCTATAATCCCAAATAGCTCTTTTTAAAAATAATTATTTATTTTATTTATCCTTATTATTATTGTGTTTTTAATTTGCTACCAGGGAGAGAGAAAGAAGAAAAGTGAGAAAGCAAGCTGCCAGGTCCAGGACTTGAACCATAGCCGACCATGTGGGAATCTAGTGCTTTAACCACCACACAACCCCCTAGCTCCTATAGCTGGTTTTTTGTTTGTTTGGTCAGGTTTTTTTAATATTTATTTATTTATTTATTTATTTAATTCCACTTGTTATTATTATTATTCTTTTTTAATTTGACGAGAGAGAGACAGAGAGAGAGAAAAAGGGAAAGTGAGAAAGCAAGCTGCCAGGTCCAGGACTCAAACCGCAGTTGGTCATGTGGGAATCCAGGGCCTTTAACCACCACATGCCAGCCCCAGCTAGTTTTTTTTTAATGACCAGTGACTCCACTCCTCCACCTCTCTCCATTTTTATAATAAAAGCTAGATACACAAGTTTGGCCTTAATTTTAGGCCTAATGAGAATGTCAAACATGTAGAAGACTGTCACATTCGAGATTATTTAATAAATATTCTAAATTATATTCTAAAATGAAAGAATATGTCATAACACTAAAACCCTAACAGTAAGAATAAGTTTCTCAAGCATCAAAACATCATACAAAGGGACTAGCAGATGGAGTAATGGTTACATGGCTGGACTCCCATGGGGCTGGCCAAAGTTCAAGTCCCCAGGCTTCAAATTCATGCCAGCACTTGTGCATGCATGCCCAAGATCCCGAGAGGAGAATGGAGGAGAAGGGGATTGCAGAGTGGTCATGCCTCCAGAGGGTGATTTCTCACTTTCTGTCTCTGTCTCTCTGTGTCTCTCCAGCGAACACATACACACCCTATAGTAAAAATTTGTCTTAAAAAAGAAAACACACAAGGGGCTGGCAGATGGCATGATGGTTAAAGGTACTGGACTCCCAAATGGCTGATAGTGGTTCAAGTCCTCGGCCTGCCAGCTTGATTTCCCACTTTCTCTCTCTCTATCCCTCCCTCGTCACTTAAAATAAATAAATAAATGTATAAATAGAGTTAAATAAAATAATTCTTAAAACACACACACACACACACACACAGGACCAGCAGATGGCATAATGGCTACGTCGCCGGACTCCCATGTAGTCGACCGCAGTTCGAGTGCCGGACCCAGTGGCTTAAACTCACACCAGGCACATGTGCATGCATGTGTGCCCAAGATCCCAAGAGAAGAATAGAGGAGAAGAAATTGCAGCGTGACATCCCTGCTGGGGGATGATTTCTCACTTTCTATCTCTCTGTCTCTATCTTTCTGGCAAGGGCACGTGCCCTATAGCAAAAATAACTCTCCAAACTCACACACACACAAACAAAAAAAAATTGTACATAAAAATTAAGGTTTGAATAAGAAAAAAAAACTAAAAGCTGTATCAGCTCTACAGTGGCATTTCAACAAACATCCAATTCCAGCAAGATTATGATGGCTCCAATTATAGACTTGGAAAGGTGCAGAGGGACTTCTTTCTATGGTCTGTAAATCAGCAATTACAGAGAAAGTATCCCACCCTGGCCATCTTTCCAAAGGCTAAAGAGGACCATTTTCAGTTCGGTGCTATAGTATTTTCACTTTTGAAAGTACATAATCAAAGTTCAATACTCAGTTCTTTGGCAAATCAGCCAAGTGAACTAAATTGAAACTAGTCAATGCTCATCCACCCTAAAAATTATCTTCCTGCAAAACGGGAGGAATGATCAATTCCAAGGGAACATCCCATTAACTTTCCCAAGTGATATCTGCAGGATGTGAGAGTGGCCGTGAAAATCATAAACTACACTAGACAGTGGGACCTCATAAAGCAGTTTTCAAACCGAATTTTTTAAGGCTTAGGTAGATCATTGTGATTTTTATCTGAAGCAAAAGTTTAAAAATATGACTGAATCTTTCACAATTTAACTTTTTAAGGCTCTAAGTATTCTATTAAACCAATGAACCAAGGTCCAATGCTCTCTCAAAATCTCTGGGAGTTCCTGCTTTCGAACACGGGAGAGTGATGGCGTGTGGGAGCTGGCACAGCCTGCGCCCTCACCGGGGCCCGAATGGAGAACGCAAAGGTATATACCCACCATCTGAGGCACACCGAAAATAACGACGTTTGAGTACTGCGAGAAAGTGACCTGGAAAAGATGGGAAACGACTGGTAAACTGTCTGAAAAGTCAAACACGAAGCTTAACCCGTCTCACAGAAACGGGCAGCATTTTTCTATTTTGCCAACTGCTAGGATCTTTACAAACTCCTAGAAAAAGTGGCCCTTCTTTAGGAGTTGCAAAGAAGCCCGCCTCCACACCTCCATCTGTGTTGGCTCAGTCCAACCCCGTTTTCCAAATGCCTCCTCATGATTCATCTCATCTCGGCCTCACTGCAACTTCTGAAACTACTTAATCGAAGTGCAGAACTCAGTTCCAGTTTATGGAAGGCTTTTAGGTGGCTGAGGCAGCAGATCCCACATGGCCAACCACATCTTTCAAATTCCGGAGCTGGTGGCTTGAAAACCAAGCCAGGCCCAGGCGCGTGTGTTCCTGAAATCTCGAAAGAAGGCAAAAATGGAGGAGAAGGGATTGTGACGTGACCATTCTCCATGGCGAGTGCTTTCTCCTCCTCTCCTCTCCGTCTCTCCCTGAGATATGTATACGTGCAGGGTCTGCCCAAGGGCCATGGTCAGAAAGACCAGAGACTCCCAGTCACGAGCTTGCGGTCCAGCTGGTGGCATCTGAGCCACCCGTTCCTATCCCACTGCACTGTGGACAAACCAGCTGAGCAAGAGCTCCAGGGATTTCTGTGACTTTTTATGTAGAGCCGTCCTGAAAATTCCAGGCCCCTCCTCTTCTCTAAAAATACTACGTAAAAAAATGCAATAAAATGGTCTTGAAAAATGAGGAGAAAAAGTGCTTTACCAGTCAAAATTCTTATTGCCCAATAAAAGTCTTATTTACTCTACAGAGAGATGGTTTAAGTATAGTATGAAAAACAAAAGCAAGCAAACAATGCAAGCAGAACACAAGCAAATGTTTATGAGCTACTGATGACGATATTACAGCAGGAAATTCTTATTTAAGAAAAAGCACTTTATGGACCATTCCTAAAGCAAAATTACAGGGCACATTTTAGAGTACAGATAAATGTGGAAGTGTCTCAGGCTTTATGGGGACAAGAAATAACTGTGACAGCGTGGTTGGTAGACTCTGTCCTTCCTCTGCGCTCATCTCTCTCCCTCCAAATGTGCACAATGCATGAACACACACACATGTGCACACAAACACAAAAAGCCTAACACTTATCAAGAATAATTCATGAGGGGCTGGCAGGTGGTGTGGTGGTTAAGGCCAACTGCGGTTCAAGTCCCGGATCTGGCAGCTTGCTTTCTCACTTTTCCCTCTCCTCTCTCTCTCTTACTCTGTCCCTCTCTAGTCAAATTAAAATAAATAAATAAATGAACTTAAATAAAATATTTTTTAAAGAAAATAATAATTCATAAAATTTCCAAATGAGATGAAAAGTCTCAATATTTTGTAATAAACAAAAATGAGACCATTTTTAACTTAGTAAATAAATTCCTGGATTTTATGTGACCTATCATTTAGGAAACTTTAACCCTCTACCCTAAAGAAGTCTATTTGTAAAATCTATCAATTTAAAATGTGTAGGCATTTTATTATATATTCATCTGGATTTTAATTATTTTTATTTTAATGTGCTTCCCAGTTTTCAGTCACACTAATTACAAATGGTGAGCCCGCTCTGCCTCACCTACCTTCCACAAATCTGAGATGTGAAACTTGGCGGAGCTGTGCACGCCTTCCTGCCAAGCCCGGTATCGGGAGTACCAGACGAGCCACGGGTTGAGCTCATAGCCGACAGCCGGGAGTCCTGCCTTCGCGGCAGCTATCACCTGCAGAGACACCAGGGCTCATCCACAGTGAAGAGAAAAGTCAACTTACACGAGCAAACGCTATGATGTGTCCTATGTATGGTTTAAAATCCCAAAACTTCCGATCAAAGAGAAACCCCAGGGCCAGCAGGTGGCAGGTGGTGAAAGCACTGGACTCCCACATGGCCGACCACAGTTCAAGTCCCAGACCTGGCAGCTTGCTTTCTCTTACTTTCTCTATTTCATAAGCACACGTGCCCTGTAGCAAATTGGAAAATAATAATTAATTAATTAATTAATATTTTAAAAAGAACCCCTTTAAGAATGTATCTCTGGGGCCAGCCAACGGCAAGGTCTGTATCCAGGGGGCTGGGAGAGGTGCTGTGGTCCTCCGATCTCACACTAAGGTTTCCAGAACACTAGACTTCCTAGTGCTCTCCTCACTTTCCAGCCCATCAGTGGGATGAGGCCTAAGGAAGGTGCCACCATGCCCTCAGAGAAACAGGCTCTGAGACATCAATTTGCCAGTCAGTGGCCTCATGTCTCATGTACGGAGTTGTGGCTGGTCAGAGCCAGCAAAGGTCATGAAAAGACTGACCTTTGGGGGCCAGCAGGTGGTGTAGTGGTTAAGGCACGGGACTCCCACGTGGCTGCCTGCAGTAAAGTCCCAGACCTGGGGGCTTTGTACACACAGCAGATGTGCATGTGTGTACATATGCTCAAAATCCCAGGAGGAAAAGGGAGAAGCGATCGCGATGTGGCCATCCCCACTGAGGGTGCGATTTCTCGTTTTCCCCATCTCTGTCTATCTCTGTCTCTCTCTGGCAAGCAAATGTGTCCTATGGCAAAAACCTTAAAAAAAGATAAAAAGAAAGACTGATCTTTGGCTCAGTAGGGGTTAATCACCACCTCCCTTAACTAAACATTGTTACCTCAGAGGAATTATTACTTACACAAGTATAAATACAGACAAACGTAGATGCAAAAATGTAAAATAGTGACACTCTATGACTTACCATGTTCTTTCTAATTATGCGGCTGGCCTGGCCATGGTGGCACAAGCGGCAGCATGACAACTGCAGTGCGGGAAGCCACATTGTGACTGCAGTGTAAATTCCCAGCCGAGCCGCCTGAAACATGCCAGGTGCACAGGTATGTGCCCAAGATCTGGTGAGCTGAGGACTGAAGCAAGGGGACCACGGTGTGGCCAGACTTTGTGGAGGGTTCTCTTCTCTCTCTCTCTCTCTCTCAAACACACACACACACACACACACACACACACACGTGTGTGCATGAACATGATCTAACATAAATAAAGAAAAAATTAATTATGCCACTTCTATCAGCCTAGGCATTTTAGCAGGCAATTTGATTATCAATTAATTGTTCCTTTTTATTTATTTGGCCATGTCCACAGAGTATTTTCTCTTTAAAATTAAAAAAAAAAATTTTTAAAGCCAGTTTCGCTGATGCAGCTATAACATAACACTCTGCAACACAGAAGCCACGCGAGGAGGTACCAGGTTCACGTCCCGAGGGCTCCCCATACACGCCCAGCACACACATCTGTAATCCCAGCCACCTGGGGCGAAAATGGATCACCCCTGTTGGAATGTCTGTCTGCATGTTACTTTCTTTCTCATGGAGAAAATATATAAATAATTTTGTTTTGTTTTTTCTTTAAGAGAGATTTTTGCTATAGGGAGAGTGTACTCTCTGGAGAGACAGAGATAGACAGCGAGAAATAACACCCCCCCAGGGGGGATGGCCACACTGCAATCCCTTCTTCTCCATTCTCTTCTCGGGATCTTGGGCACGCACGCACATGCGCCCGGCGTGAGTTTAAGCCACCGGGTCCAGGACACAAACTGTTGTCGACTACATGTGAGTCCAGCGACATAGCCATTACGCTAACTGCTGGTCCCCATGAATTATTTTTTTTTTTTAAAGAAGAAATTAAATCTGAAAACTTGAATTCTGAACACATGCTGGTGGTTTAATAATTTGACCAAACACACACAAAATGAAATGCCCACTTTCCTAAACTGTCAAATTTAGCAAGTCTTTGCATAAGCCTCAAAAAAACACAAGCAGAAAGCTCCCCCTTCCAGTCCGCAACCTTCAGATGTGTCAGTGTAACTCACCACACGTCCGTCGCCACTGCCGATGTCCACCAAGGGTCCTCTCCTGCACTGCAGCGTTTTCAGGACATTCTCTATCTGCTTCGTAGTTGCAGGTACAAAAGGCAAACACACTTTCCGGAGGGCTGGAGTTATAAATGGCGTGGTCACAGCATACACTGCCACCAGTGTCCCACCAACTATCCCAGTCACTACGAGCCCCCAGCTGCTCCTCTTCAAACTGTTGGCTTCAAAACTTTCGGGTAAAACACGACTTTCCTCTGGCAGCATTTCTAGGGGTGCACCTACAGTGGGGGTCAGCAGAAAACGTTAGGTAGCGCCCAGTCTGAAATTCAAGAGAGCATCTTTTTCTCCAAATTCTATTAACAAATAAGCTCATGCTTTTTTTTTTTTTTTAAGAGAGTTTTGCTATAGAGCACATGCACTCACCTGAGAGACAGAAAATGAGAAATCACTTCCCTGGGGGATGGCCACATAGCAGTCCCTGCTCCTCTCAGGATTTTGAGCATGCACACACATGTACCTGGCATGAGTTTTTGAAGTCACCGAAGCCAGGACTCGAACCACAGTCAGCCACATGGGAGTTCAGCACCTTAGCCACCACACCCCCTGCTGGCCCAAGCTCACGCTTTTTAAGGAAGGATAATTGAGCTGAATATGATCTAAATTACAACTGGAGTATTCCACAGTGAGTTCTAAATTCCATTAACAAAATTAAAGTGTTCCTGAGAAAAATAGTTTATAACGATGGAAGACTAAACTCTCTCTTTCTAACACTGATTTTGTGTGTGTGTGTCTAGGAGTTAATCCTTAGAAAACAATGTACTCAAGCCTATCTGGTACTTATTAATTCAATATCTAATAGCTCAAGTTTTAACCATGAACTCTATTTTTCTGAGTGAACAAAGCCTCACAAGCAAATAAACATAAAAATGTCTAATGATTACCCAGTTTCAACAGGATGGAAGGATTCCACATCAAAACTGATACAGCAGCGACAATCCAGCTACACAAATACAAGGGTATTTCTTAGTTTGTGGAAAAATAGAATTAAAGTACAAGCTTATTTGGGTACAAAAAAAAAAAAGTTGTTTGAAACCCATGCATAGTTTTCTTTTTTTTTAAGAGAAAAATCTTTGCTATAGGACGTGTGAACTTGCCAGAGAGACAGAAAGCGAGAAGTTGCCCCCCAGGGGGATGGCCATGCCACAATCCCTTCTCCTCCATTCTCCTCTAGGGATCTTGGACACACACGCACACGCGCCCGGAATGAGTTTTAAGCCATTGAACCACAGTTGACTACATGGGAGTCCAGCGATGTAACCGTTACACCACCTGCTGGTCCCCATAGTTTTCTTATTATATGAATATTCTGAAGACCTCTTGTACAATTTTGAAGTTAATGAGGAAACAAAAATCAAGTTTTACTAAATATTTTTTAAAACATTTACTTATTTATATTTGTTGTGATTTTCAAGCTGCTGGGTCTTGACCTGAACTGCAGTCAGCCATGTGGTAACCCAGCACCTCAACCACTAAGCTACTTGCTGGCCCCTAAACATTTTTTAATTGCTAGAAGGCACATGTGCTCATCAGAAAGAGAATCCTGGCCCCCCACCACTCAATGGGTTGTTGTCACACCAAAATCCATCTTCCTCTTCTCCATCCTGTCAGGATTCCCGGCACACACGTGTACCCCGTGCAGTTTTTCAACCCACCAGGGCAGGGATTTGCACCACATCAGTCATGTGGGATCCAGCACCCTGTGCATGGCACTTAACCATTGTGCTGCAGACTAGCTACAAACTTTTTTTTAATGCTAAAAGTCATGTACACTCATGGGGTAGGAGGTAGGTGAATGGAGAAAAAGAACCCTCCTACAGGGCGTGGTCACACAGAGGCCTGTCTCCGGTTCTCCGTCCTGTCGAGATCTGGGGCACACATGTACACTGGCCAGTGTGTTCTTCAAGCTGCCCGGGCCAGGATTTGACCCTCAGGTGGCCATGTGGGATCTGGTTCCCAATGTACAGCGCTTAACCACTGTACTACAGGGCCAGCCCCCAAACGTCTTAAATAAGTATAATAATACAGATTGTTAAAGCAGATCCAAAAAGAACAAAAAAATAAAAGAATCACTTCACTGTTATCACAATACAGCAAACAAACTCCAACCACTGGTTACAGAGAAATGAATAGTAACTTGAATATTCTCCTTTTGAGTTTACCCTTCAATACACATTCTTAATGAAATCTCATTTCTGGAATTGATATTGATTTGAAATTGATTTAGGAATTGCTTAACGATGAGCTCAGCACCGGGGAGAGAGCACGTCTCTGGGCAGCCGCAGTGGTTAGGGGCCAGGCTCCGCTGGTTGGTTCACTAACAGCATGGCCCCGAGTCCTTTCATGCTCGAGGTTCACCTTGGTCTCCCCGTCTGTAAAGTGAAGGTCGTGAGGCTGACGGAAGGATGAAAGGAGGGGTGCGGGCACAGCACCTAGGGCAGGATCTGGCACACGAGAGGCAGCGGCACAGGCCATGCCAGGTATCCTCTGTACACTGCGGGCAGCACGCTGGACCCACAGGGCACAAGCCCATCTCCGCGCAGGCAGCTCGCCATGGAGCCGAGGAAGAGCAGAAATACGAGGGAACGGGTGAGTGAGAGGAGGTATGACAACATTCATAATCAGTAAGGCCTTCTGTATTGTAGAAGGTGGTCTTTCAAAAGTTCACTGAAAATGTGTATTTTGGAGAGAAAAAAAACTGCCTAGGTTTCCATTTTTTTGCACCAAAATAGATGTACACTTTGTAATTAAATCTTTCCACAAACTTTTTGAGTACCCTGTACTATTTTCCTATACCTATTGTAAGAAATCCCAAGGGCCAGCCTGGTGGCAAGGTGGTTAAGATGACTGAATCCCACATGGCTGACTGTGCAGTTCAAGTCCCAGACCCAGCAATTTGGTAAAAAAAAAAAAAAAAAAAGCTGGAAACGTATGCATATGTGCCCAAAATCCTGAGAGGAGAATGGATTGTGGCATGGCCATCCCTTCTAGGGGGAGACTTCTCACTCTCTGAGAATGCACATCCCTAGCTAAAAGTAAAAAAGAAATCACCACGAACTTAGTGGCTTCAAACACACATTTATTATCATACAGTCTGCAGATCAGAAAGAAACTCTCTAGGGACCAGCAGTTAGCATAATGGCTATGTCACCAAACTCCCATGTAGCCGACTGCGGTTCAAGTCCCAGACCCAGTGGCTTAAATTCACACAGGGAACGTGTGCGTGCGTGCCCAAGATCCCAAGAGGAGAATGGAGGAGAAGGAATTGCAGTGTGGCCATCCCCCCGGGGGGTGATTTCTCACTTTCTACCTCTCTGTCTTTCTGGCAAGCACACGCGCCCTATAAGCAAAAACCTCTCCAAATAAACAAAAAATAAATAAACTCCCTAAATTGAGTTGGCAAGACTGTTCCTTTAGCAGCCCTAGGGTAGGTGCGATGGTCTGCATATGGCTTCCCCCAAAGGTTCATGTGCTGGAAGTTTGGCCCCCAGTGTAATGGTGTGGGAGTTGGAAGGACCTTTAGGAGTGAGCTACTGGGGATGTTTATATCACGCGGGCACCACCCTCACGGATATATCAATGCCTTCTCTTGTGGTAATAGGTTAGTTCCCATGAGAGTGGATGGTAGTAAGAGTAAGGCGGCTGCCCATGATCTCTCTTCACACCCACCCCTGACCTTTCTGCTACTCTACCATGGTGGGATGCAGCAAAGGCTGGCCAGATGCTTGTGCCCACCTGCAGACTTTCCAGTCACCAGAATCGTGAGTCAAATAAACCTTTATTCTTAGTGTTGTCACCCAACTTCAGGTATTTCTGTTTAGCAACACAACAGCCTAAAACCGTAGGACTAGGGCTGGCAGGTGACATAGTGGTTAAAGCGCTCAACTCCCACATGGCCAACTGCTGAGTAACGAATCGAGGGCCTTGCTTTCTCACCTTTCCTCTCTCTCTGTCTCACTCTGGTCAAATTTAAGAATAGTAACAATAATAATAAAATTAAACAGATAATCCTTCAAAAATAAGTAAGTAACAGTAGGACTGGTTTCCAGTCTTTTCCAACTTCAGAGGCTGCCCACATCCTTGGCTCTTGACTCCACATCTCCAGTCTCTGCTTCTGTCCTGACATCTTATCTCATATTCCTGCCTCCCCCTTTCTCCATATGACCCACATCAGACCCAGCTAGATAATCCATGATAAATTCCCATCTCCAGATTCTTAATCACATTGCACAGATGACAGGCATTAGAATGTGGACGTAGTTAGAGGGTCCACTGTTCTCCCTGCCATATCTGTAAACTGCAGCAATCTATTATGGCGAGGTACTTTTTCAAAAAAAATCTTTTCAACTGCCAGGGGGCACATGTAGTCACCAAAGAGACAGAAAGGAAGAAAGCACTCCACAAAGAACGTGGTCATGCCACTTTCCCTTCTCTTCCATTTTTCCATTCTGTCAGGATTTAGGGCATGCACACACATATACTCAGAGTGTTTTTCAAGCTGCCAGAGTCAGGATCTGAACCCCTATCAGCAATGGGGGATCTGGCTCCCTAACCACTAAGTTATGGGGCCTGCCCATGTTTTAGGGGGTTTGTTTTTTTGTTTTTGTTTTTTAACCACAATTTTTTAAAAATTTAATGACTTAGCAGTAATACAGTACTATCCCTATAGGGTCACTGAACTGTTAAACATTGCAGATAAGTCACTCAGCACAGGAACTAAATGATGACAATTAACAGCTATTATTCTCAGCACTATCATTTGGAGGAGGCTCAATTTTTTAACAAATTCTTGAGATATAATTCTTAAACATACAAGTTGCCCATTTAAAGAATGTGGCTTTTAATATATATGTATTTAGTACATACATTTTTAATATGACAGGCGTAACAATTACTATAGTCACTTGTAGAACATTTTTGTTCCCTCCTTTTTATTTCCTTATCTTTCAGCTACCAACCCCCATCCACCCTCTACCCTCAGCCCTAAGCAACCACTAACCTACTTTTTGTCTCTGCGGAGTCCCCTGTTCTGTACTTAGAGGAGAGGAATCACATAGTGTGGCATCTCCTATGGCTCATTCTTCCTCCTAACATAAAGGCTTCAAGATTCATCATGTACTTTGTATCAAGACATTATTCCGTTTTAAGGTTGAATACTCCATTGTATGGCTATACCACCCTTTATTCACCCATCTGTCCATCTATAGTTTATTTTAAAAATACAAGTTGAATGATCCATAGTCTTATTACCTTTGTAGCCACAAATCCATCAACTCAACCGCAAGACAGGATAAAAAGCTCCAGGTTGGGACCAGCAGTTAGCCTAATGGCTATGTCGCTGGACTCCCATGTAGACGACTGTGGTTCAAGTCCCAGACCCGGTAGCTTAAAACTCACGCCGGGCGCGTGTGCATGCATGCCCAAGATCCTGAGAGGAGAATGGAGGAGAAGGGATTGTGGCATGGCCATCCCCCCTGGGGGCTGATTTCTCACTTTCTGTCTCTCTGTCTCTCTCTGTCTGGTGAGCACACACGCTCTATAGCAAAAACCTCTCAAAAATAAAGCTCCAGGTTGTCAGGGCCTCCCACCTAGTCTGTGAGAGTGCGGTCCAGCTGAGGCAGAAGCATGTCAGGTTGAGAAATGCCATAGAGTACCAAACCCTGTGGGAATATGGGAGGCGGCGGAAGAATGGTTGATCCCAAAAAGGGGACCAGTAAAGTCTTGATGGAGACAGAATTTGAGCTGGAGCAAAAGAAGGAAGCCTTAAACCCCAGGCATGGAAGGTGAGGAAAGTTAGCTGAGTACAACAATAAACAGGAAGGCCAGTTTTTGGCTATCAGGTGGAGTATTTTATTCTCTTTACACTGGGATGAACTTTCTGAACACTTATTAAATGTTTTATGTTTTTAAGAAAAGCAACAACAGCAGCAGAGTGCCCTGTGACAAAATCAAAATTTTGTCCCAAGTTTTCCACTTCACAGAGTTATACGGGTAAAACAACGCAAGAAGTTACTATGTAAATACAACATATAATTATATTGTTAGCTCCCTCCAATAAAGCAAGTATCAATGTGGGTCAGCAGCTGGCAAGGTGGTTAAGGTGGCTGGATCCCACATGGCTGTGCAGTTCGAGTCCCAGACTCAGTGGCTTAAAAAATACACCAAGTGTAAGCATGGGTGCCCAAAATCTGGAGAGAATAGAGAAGGGACTGCAGCATGCCCCACCAGGGTGCTTTCTCAAACCCACTCCAACCCATGAGCTCACACATCCTATAACAAAAAAAAAAAAAAAATTAAATGTATTGATTTTTATCAGTGAAAACCAATCCCTGAACATTCAAAACTAAAGACTGTTTCTACAAATCCCTTTGATGGAGCATGTTTAGACTCACAAAACTGTTTACTATACTATAAACAAAGGGCACAAGATTGCTGTCACCCGTGCCTTTAGAACACTGACCACTACATTAAACAAGACTTGTGGAGGCCACTGGCTGGCTGTCCTTGAAAGTAAAGTAACCCGAGTGTGTTTTAACTCCCACTCTGTCTCTAGGCTGTGCCTAGTCACTGACTTTTGATACTGGGTGAAAACCTCAATTTTCAGTGACAGATTCAGATCAGCTGAAGCAAGCGGGAGTGACTGGGGTGTACAAAAAGGTATACAGGGATCTTATTCAAGTTCAAGCCAAAGGACCAAAGCCAGGAAGAACAAATGGGCCTGTACTGAATGAACACGACCTGCCGTGTGTTTAAAGGGGCCTCTAGGGAGCAGCAGTTAGTGTAACAGCTATGTCACTGGACTCCCATGTTGTCGACCGTGATTCAAGTCCCGGACCCGGTGGCTTAAAACTCATGCCGGGCGCATTTGTGTGTGTGCCCAAGATCCCAAGAGGAGAATGGAAGAGAAGGGATTGCGGTGTGGCCATCTCCCCTGGGGGGTGATTTCTCACTTTCTGTCTCTCTGTCTGTCTGGCAAGCGCACACACCGTATAACAAAAACCTCTCTAAAAAAATAAATAAATAAATAAATAAAGGGGGCCTCTATCAGAATGTCACATCTAAGCTGTTCTCTGCACATGTGTATACTGCCCTATACTACCTCAGTAGCCGTGTGCTGTGTCCCTTTATATACTCATTCTTACATCCCTTAAGAGGCCTTCCTGGGGGCCAGCAGGTGGCATGCTGCTTAAGATGCTGGATTCCCACATGGCCACCAGCAGCTCAAGTCCCGGACCTGGCAGCTTGAAAGTCACACAAGGTAAATGCCCCAAATCCTAAAGGATTGCCATGTGGTCAGCACGCCCCCCCGGGGGGGGGAGGGGTGTTCTCAGTTTCCCTCTCTCTGTCTCTCTCAAGATGCATGCCCTATGACAAAAATAAAAAAGCCATTTCCAGACTCGTCTGTCACTTTTGATACATACCATCTATTGACAATTAGGGGAGATCTACCTGCCCTCCATGTTTAACAGGAACTAACAATAAATACACACAGAGCATTATTTTCTATTCTTACAATCTAATAAGGCTGAAATTCTTAATGAGGAAACACAGAATCCCAAAACTTAAGTGAAATGAAACCTGGCTCCAAAATCTGAAACATCTTGGCGCATCAGAGAGAGTAACTGAACCAAGGAATTGGAGAGATTAATTAATCACTAACTATACAATGACACTCTGCTTTTTTTTTTTTTTTAAGACAGATTTTTGCTATAGGACACATACCCTCACCAGAGAAACATAAATAGAGAAATCGCCCCGTTGGGAGGATAGCTATGCCCCAATCCCTTCTCTGCTATTCTCTGTGCGCGCGTGAGCTTTAAGCCACCAGGTCCAAACCTCAAACCCTGGTTCACTACATGGGAGTCCAAGGACGTAACCATTACATCACTGGCTGGTCCCAACAATCTGCTGACTTTGAAGCAGGGCTAAATGGTGCAGTGCACACAGTCATTTCAGCATTTCCAGAGTACCTAATAACGACTAGGAATAATAGTGCAAGGGTAAATTCCCATCCTGACAGTGGGTAAGGCTGGGCGCCCACAATATCTCAGTCTGTAGAATACTGGGTCGTGATCTCTGAAAGAACTAAGCCGCTAGAAGATTTAGGGGTCCTTCTTAGGACGCTGGAAACAGGGCTCACGGGAGGGGCCGGCAGCACTAGGCTGTGCAACCTCGTCTCTTTTGAGCTGCGTACCCTCGGGCAAGTGAGCGGACCAACGGTGCAAAATGGGGGGGTTATTTAACAAGCATTTAACGTAGCTTGGGCCAGGCACTGTTATCCGTGAATCCTACAACAGCCTTTTAAGGTAGATAACTCTTAGTTACGGTCATTTTTACAGACGAGGAAACCGAGGAACGAAGGACTAAGTACCCCCAGACACAGCTAGCAGGCGGCGGGGCGGAGACTCCAGCCCCGCAGCGCGCTCCAGGGCGCGCTCTCCCAGGGCCGCGCCAAAGGCTCGGGGATGCGCCCTAAGCGCACAACAGTCCCCGGCCGATGCACCCGGTGCCAAGGAGCGCCCGCAGAGCCCGGGGACCGGCGCAAGCGGACCCCGGCCCACCGCGCGCCCCGCCGCTGCTGGGCCACGCCCGCGCCCGCCCGCTTAACTGCACACCCGCCAGGTCCCGCCATGCCGTTCCGGCCTCACCTCTTCCTCCCTCCATCGCGAGACTTCCGGCATCGTAACCAGAAGTAGGCCCTACCATCAGAGCTGGGGGGGGTAAGACGAAGAGGAAACGTAATGCTTTAAGTAAATGAGCTCCCCGTTGGAACCCATCGTTCAAAAACAACGTCGATTGTAGGGCTTTAATAAGTGAAAAATTCAATGCTCTCCCGGCTCGTTGGTCCAAAGAGCTCCCGCGCGTGTACTCGAACCCCCCTACAGCTTCCTGGAGGATAGAAGTTTCCGAAGGCGGTGGATTCCAGAAGGTACTGTCTGGCGTTAAACTAATCTCAGTTGAAAAATAAGTCTCGGGCAGCTTGTACTGCGCGTGCGCGAGCTGTTGAGCCCTCCCGCGAGGAAGGTGCGTTCCCGATTTGGGGTGGTCGCTGCTGGTTGCGGGAAAGTAAGTCTAACGCTGCACCATGGCGTCCGTGGGGACCCTCGCCTTCGATGAGTATGGGCGCCCTTTTCTCATCATCAAGGATCAGGATCGCAAGTCTCGTCTCATGGGCCTCGAGGCCCTCAAGGTAACGACCGGGGACACACTTGGCCGGGATGAGGGAGGCGGCCCAGTCCGCGGCTCTGCGCCTGCGCAGCTTGGGAGCCACCTACCATGTGCTTCGGGAAGGCAGAGAATCTGCTCCTCCGAGGGGTCCCCGGTGGTCCCCATTCACGCGCCCGGACTTTGAGCTCGGGCCGAAGTCTGAGCTCCTAGTGCTAATGTGGGGGTCGACCCCCCTCCAGGCTTGGGCGGGGCAGCCTCGGCGGCCCGCGGCCCAGCCTCGCCCCGTTCATCAGACATGACGCCTCGGCCACCTGTCTGCGTGAGGCTGTGCTCCGACCGGCGTGCCCCCAAACAGTGCTAAGGGAAATGGAGGCTCATTTAGGGGTGCCTTTATTCAGGGCGTGTTTGAGGATGGGACTGGTCCAAGTAGCATGTGCCCTTCCGAGGAAGGTGTTTCAAGAGCGGGAGCAGACACAAAACCGTAATGCCAGGTGTGTGTGGCCAGGATGGCCGGCCGTGGACAGGGTGCAGGTGGGAGTGGAGGGGACTCTCAGCGCATGGGGGGCGGCCTTGATCCGGAACGGGTACGAATTCGCAGCCGGAGAGCTAGCGTTCTTGGGGGAGGACGGTGAGAGGAGGGGCTTGGCCGGCAGCCGCACAGCTCCGGGTCGCAAGAGCTCCCCGACTCGGTGGAGCAGACGGCCTGAAGTTTGGAGGAATGCCCCTCCAGCAACGAAGATGAAGCCCTGGGAAGGAGCGCCTTCGAGGGTGTTCGAGCAGGATTTTAAGTGTAGTTGCAGCTTAGGGCGCAGTGCTGGAGATGGACTGGAGGGACTGGAGACCCGCTGGGTAAAGCAGTGCAGGAGTCCGGGTAACAAAGGCTCATGGACACTGACGTGGACGGGGCGCTGTAAGGGGGCCTCCTGAGCTGATTATAGAGTGAGTCCGCAATGTTTAGGTGCACAGGCAATGCCACTAGGGCAGAAGTGCCCCTGTTCACTTAGTGTCTTGGGGTTGCCTTAAACGTACAAGTAGTACCTTTTTGCCACACTGACAGGACGAGTTAGCAGGCTCCTGGATGACACCCTGTCACGCTGCGGGGGCCACAGTGTTACACAGTGGGGTAACCCAAGGAGAGGCTGGGCAGTGCTGGGTCCGTGGGAAGTACCCAACGTTTTTACTTCCTTTCTAGAAAAAAGTTTCAGCTACTTTATTCAGTTCCATTTTTCAATTAAAGGGATCCACAGGGACATGTTGGGTATGATTAAAGCTACAGGTTGGGCTGGCCTGTGACATGGTGGTTAGGGGCCTGGACTCCCACGTGGCTGACCACAGTAAGAGTCCCAGACCCAAAGTCTTGAATATCATGCTGGGTGCATGTGTGCACACATGGCCAAATCCTAAGAGAAGACGACATTGTGGTGTGGCCATCCCCCACCTCTTCCTCCTTCTCTTCCCCCTTCTCTTCCCTCCTCTCCCCCAAGCACATGCCCCCCACCTCTTCCTCCTTCTCTTCCCTCCTCTCCCCCAAGCACATGCCCTATGACCAAAAAAAAAAATTTTTTTAAGTAAAAGGGACCAGCAAGTAGTGTGGTAGTTTAGAGCACTGGACTCCCACATGGCTGACTGTGGTTCGAGTCCCAGACCTGGCACCTTGCTTTCTCACTTTCCCTCTCTTTTTCTCTCTCTTCCACTCTCTTTCCCCCTTTGGCCAGATTATTAATCATTTATTTAAAAATAGAAAAAGGCAGGACCAACAGATGGCGTAATGGTCAGGTCACTGGGTTCCCAGGTAGTTGACCTCTGGCTGAGTCCCTGAACCAGCAACCTAAAGCTCAACGCCAGGCGTGTGTGTTGGTGTGCCCAAATCCTGAGAGGAGAAGTGATTGCATAGCCATCCCGGGGTGGGAGCTGGGGAGTGGGGAGAAGGGTGATTTCGCTTTCTGTCTCTGACAAGCACCCATGCCCTATAGCAAAAATCTCTCTTTAAAAAAAAAAAAAGAATTGGAGGTCCCAACAACAGTTCAAGACCTGGGCCCAGCAGCTTGAAAATCACACTGGGCGTATGTGCCCACGCTCGCATGCACCCCCAAAATCCTGAGAAAAGAGTGGAAAGGAATGCAGCATGACAATCCCCTGGGGGAGAAGGGGACTGATTTCTCACTTTCCCTCCCTCCCTCTCTCTGTCTCTCTAGCCAGTGTCTGTACCCTATAGCAAAAGCTTTAAAAAATGCAGGCGGTGGCCACTTGGGAAGCCAGGTTGATTCCAGACCCACCCTGAGAGTCGGCTGCAGTGGCCCGCACCTATAATCCCAGGAACAGTGGAAGCTGAGGCAGAGGGATAGGGACGTGGCCGACCGTGCCTAAGGTAACACAGGCAGTACTTGGCTCATGAAGGGCATCTTCTGGAAGTCAGCCCCAGTCCTAGGGCTGCTTAGACTGGAAGGAGAAAGAAACAAAAGTTATCTTCCACTTCTATTGTCAAAACTCTCACCCTCCTTCCCATTTTGTTTCTTCGCCCTAAACAAATCATTGCAGTGTGTGGCTAAGTTTAGCCGCTGATGTGGCAAGAGGAAAACTCCAGCTAACTTATTCTGGTACCTCTGAGAGAGCCACTTACTTGCCCACCTTGACCTGTCAGTAGAGGTAGAAGCTGGGGCAGGTGGAGGAAGGTTTCAGGGCGAGAGAAGCGACGTTCCATCAGAGCAGCCTCCTGGACCTCGTGCCTACACGGAACCTCCACGGGTTTCTTAGCCGCTTCTCAGAACTTTTGTTCTTCCAGAGTTGCTCTCTCTTAAGAACTGTCAGGTACAAGTGACTCTTCTCTGTATGTTATGTATTGCTTGACCATTTTAAAAAACAATGTGAGTCCAGTAGGTGGCGTGGCGGCTAAGGCGCTGGACTCCAGCCATAGTTAACCTAACCACGGTTCAAGTCCTGGACTCAGTGGCTTGAAAAATCACACTAGGTGTGTGTGACCCCAAAGTCCTGAGAGGAGAATGGAGAAGGGCTTGCAGCCTGGCCGTTCCACACAGAGGGCACATTCTCACTTTCCTTCTCTCTTAATCTGGCAAGTTCACGTGCCCTATAGCAAAAACCTTATTGAGAGAGAGAGAAGAAAAAAGACCAAATGCAACAGTTCAAGGTGTTGTCACAGGAAGTTGGTATTGTAGAGTCATCTCGCGAGGCCTGAGAGTGGGTTGTGAGAAAACTTGCCTTGTGGTGTGTTGAGGGCTGAATGAGGTGACACAGAGCTCTTGGTTCTGATTCTTTTACAGAAGTGTCTGCTAAGTTGGCCCTTGTAAATGTTGTTCACCCTTAGATTTAGAGCCGTGCTTATAAATGTAGAAGCTTCTAGAGAACAGAAACTATAATGTGTTGTGATTTTTGCTAATCATCAGTTGTGTGCTTTTAACTGTTGAAATTGTACCTAACTAGGTGTTTGCTTTTTCTCATTGTTTCATTTAGTCTCATATAATGGCAGCAAAGGCTGTAGCAAATACCATGAGAACATCACTGGGACCAAATGGTAAGAGTCAAATATTCTGGTTTTTAAATCATAAAATACCCAATGCATCTTTATAGGAAAATTGGGGGAGGGAGCCCTACTACCATAACATAGACAAAATTGTTTTAGTTCATCCTAGACTTCTTTTTGGAGAGGTGTAGAGAGGTATTTTGTTTTTCTGTTTTTGTTTGTTTTATAAGAATTGAATTTTATTTAAATTTATTTATTTAATTTTTAGTTTGACCAGAGAGGGACAGAGTGAGAGAGAGTGAAAGGGAAAGTGAGAAAGCAAGCTGCCAGGTCTGGGCCTCAAACTGCAGTTGTCCAGCACCCCCAACTTCTGCCACCTGCTAGTTTCAGAGAGATTTTTGCTACAGAGTGTGTGCACTCACCAAAAAGAGGAAAGACAGACAGATGGAAAACAAGAAATCATTTCCCCTGGGAGGGTGGCCACAACACAGTCCCTTCACCGTTCTCTCTGGATTTTGAGCATGCACACACATGCTCCCAGCTTAAATTTTAAGCTGCTGGATCCAGGACTCCAACCATGGTTGACTACGTGGAGTTTGGTGACAACCATTACATCATCTGCTGGTTCCAGTTTTAGACTTTTTTTTTTTTTTTTTTTTTTTTGGAAAATTTTTTTTTTTTTTTTTTTGTGGTGGGTGTAGGGTGCATGCGCTCACCAGAGAGAGAGAGACAGAAAGCGAGAAATCACCCCCCGGGGAGGATGGCCACACCACAATCCCTTCTCCTCTATTCTCCTCTCAGGACCTTGGGCGCACATGCGCCCGGCATGAGTTTTAAGCCAGTGGGTCCAGCCAGGACTTGAACCGTGGTTGACTACGTGAGAGTCCAGCGGCATAGCCATTATGCTAACTGCTGGTTCACCCCCATCCCCCCCCCTTTTTAGACATCTTAAACACCGTTTTAATAGTGTATAATTTGAGATCAGACTTTTCACCTAACATCATTTTGCCAGCATTTTCCAAATGCTTTGGAATTAATTCTACATCTGATGAGACTCTTCTTCCCCTGTTCCTTTGATCTTAATCATTGAGTTTGTTTTCTGTGTTTCGCTTTAAAAGTGTCATCAGGTTGATATTCTTTTATGTACGTTAAACGGTTTTCTTTGAAATAAAACTGCATAGGTGAAAACTGGGTCAAGAGACTTTTTTTTTTTTTTTAACAGTCGTTGGTATTTGAGGGTTCTTTGCACAAGGCTGTCTAAGTATTGTTGTCTTTTTAGGGCTTGACAAGATGATGGTGGATAAGGATGGCGATGTGACTGTGACTAATGACGGTGCCACCATTCTAAGCATGATGGATGTCGATCACCAGATCGCCAAGCTGATGGTCGAACTATCCAAATCACAGGATGACGAAATAGGAGATGGAACCACAGGGGTGGTTGGTAAGAAAAGGCAAAGTAGCCTTTCTCATTTTGAGCTCACAGGGCTAAGGTGCCTCCTAAGAGTGTTTACCCTAGGTTAGACTACGGGGGACACAGGCAAGTCCAAGTTGAAGGACACCCTACAAAACAGGTGGCCCAGGTTTCCCAAAACCGATAGCATCACAACGAACAGGGGCCAAAGGGAGTCTGGCAGTGAGAAGTGACAGCCAGCTGCCATGCGTTATACTTGATTGGACGCTAGGGTGTTTCTTACTTACTGTTCTTGCTTTTTAAGCCAAAAAGGAATTTTAGATCAGGCTGGGGGATTGGTGATGGATCATGTGTTCATGTCATTGTTGAATTTCCTGAGTGTGGCAGTTACATTTCAATTATGTAGGAGAATGCCCCTATCAACAAATTCTTGTATGCCGCGTGCATTTTTGGTGTGCTTGGAGAACAGCACTTTTAAAAGAATGTGGGGAATAGAAAGTTGGTGTGAAAGGATAAATTATAAACAGAGTTGAAATTTTCTTATTAGCAGGAGAAATTTCACTGACTTAGAAATTCCAGGCTCAGGAAACATAAATGGGGTTTTAGTCCCTCTGTAAAAGTGTTTTTTATGTTATTGCTAAAAGATGGACATTATCCTATAAAAGGAGACCCTGTTAGATTTTTGCTAGAACAAAAACAAGAGGCTCCTTTTTGAAAATAGATGGCATCAGCTTCTAAGGTACTTGCAGCTTAATTCTGGAACCTTCTTGCTTCCGGGGAAGTGTCTACTTTGTATTGAGTGTACTGCGTTAAGTTTTGGCGTGTTTCTGAACTGATTGCTCTCGTGTGTGCAGTCCTGGCTGGTGCCTTGTTGGAAGAAGCTGAACAGTTGCTGGACCGTGGGATCCACCCCATCAGGATCGCTGACGGCTATGAGCAGGCTGCCCGCATTGCCATTGAGCACCTGGACAAGATCAGCGACAGCGTCCTCGTAGACCCCAACGACATCGAGCCCCTGATTCAGACTGCGAAGACCACTCTGGGCTCCAAAGTGTGCGTGTCAGTAGAGTGTTGGGGTTAAGCATCCGAGGAGGAGGCACGGCCTGCCTGTTCCTAGAAGCAACACGAAACGGGCACCAGCAGCCCACGTTGGTTTGACAAGTTTCTCTCATGGCTCTGGTTTTGCTTTATTTGTAATGTAGACATAGACAAATGCATCTTGGTTTTAGTCAGAAGCAGACTTCCCAAGTTTGGGTATTAGATCATCATGACGGTGTTCGCCAGATACAGTCCTTCAGTGCAGCAGGACAGGCTCATTAGGGGGTCTGCCGGGAAGGGAGGGTCCTGCTTGAAGGTTGTGTTGATCTTCATAACTATCTTTTGTAACTTTTTGGCCAGGAAGCTGTTTGGAAGGTTCCTCTTTTCACTTACTTAACCAAATTACTGGCCCAGTGTTTTAATTTAGTATGGATGAGCAGGCCTAAAATTGACTTACGTCAAGTCCTTTAAACATTTGCGTAATATCCACTCTTGCCAGGTGTACTGCCAAGTCTCAGGGACACAAAGATACAGTTCTCTCTCCCCTGGAGGCTCTTAAGTATCTTCAACCAAAGGATGCGTTAACCTGTATTGCCATAATGCGGCATACAAATCAGTTTACGGTGCTTTATCGAGCTGCTTAAATTGGTATCTGTGAGAGCTGGTCGATATGTGTGTTCATTTTAGCAAAAAGGTAAGATTGATTAGGAAAAATACAGCACGTGTCTGTCTGCCCTGGGCAAGACAGCCCCACAGCTCGGGTTGGGACAGATGCCTTTGGTGAGGGCAGTCCTCTGGCCACAGGGCCTAGCAGGGGCAAGTTTGTGACTAGGCAACAGTGACTGCCCCCCAGGGTGGCTTCTGCCATAAGGATGGCACTATATGCTCACGTAAGGAAGGCATTGCCATTATTTGAGTTACTTCATTGTTGCATAAGTTGATCCTGCTCTATTTGCACGTCTCTGTGGAACCCAACCGTTGTACAAAGGAACTCAAAAAGTTCTTGGAAAAATGAAATTAAACGACAAGTTTATTTTGGTGCAAAAGTAAAATTGAAATCTGTAACTTTCTAAGTATATATTTCTCTTGAACTATTGAAGCCCTTTCATATATATTTTTTGGGGGGGGTGTTGCTTTTTAACTTTGTTAGTGGTTGCATGAGAGAAAAGAAAAGGAAAAGATGAGAAAGCAATCCCTGTGAGGGGTGGTCATGCCACAATCTCTTCTCCATTTCTCCTTTCGGGATTTTGAGCACACATGAACACACCTGTCGTGTCCTCCAAGCCATGTGGGGTCCAGCTGTCTCAACCACCACACTATGGCTGGCTCCTTCATATAGGTCTTCACTGTAAAAATATGCTCAGTTGACTGATAATGGCCACATATATTCATCAGAAAGCAGAACATTGTAAGTCACCTACTTAGGATACCAACATTCTTAGTTCCAAGTTTCTGTTTTCTGGATGACTTAAGATTTCACATACTGGGGTCTGCTCCATGGCCTGATGGTTAAGACAGCCAGATTCCACGGCCAGCAGGTGACAGTAGTGAAAACAAGGGACTCCTACATGGTCGACCATGGTGCGAGTCCCAGACCCTGGCAGCTAGAAATCAACACTGGATGTGTGTGCGAGCACTTGCATGCCCAAAATCCTGAGGAGGACAAAGAAGAAAGGATTGCAACGTGGCCAATCCCCCCAGGGGTTGGTTTCTTGCTTTCTGTCTCTGTCTCTCCAGCAAGCACACGTACCATGTAGCAAAAATCTCTCGGGGGAAGAAAAAAAGCATCAGCCAGATCCCACATGTTCAGAACCTCATGGTTCAAGTCCCAGACCCAGCAGCTTTAGAAACCTGCTAGTCACATAAGCATGTGGGCTCAAAATCAGCGAAGGAGGGAGTGGCTGTTCCCCACAGGTTGCTTTCTCTTTTCTCAATTTTTCACATACTGTGTTTCAAGTGTCAGGTTTCTTTGTGGCTTATCCAGATTAGAGTACATTTATCGAGCAGCCTATTCAAATGTTTCAAAGCTTTTGAAAAAGATAACACTTCCTGTCTGTAGTCAGTGCTATAGTGGGAAATCTTGCAATGGGAAGCTGCCGTATGGCATCCGTTCACTTCCTTTTAAGTGCCATACCTCACTGAGATGGGATTTTTCTGAGTGATTACTGATTTTTCCATTTTGTTTCAAATTTGTAAAATATTGGGTCATCGGAAAAGTCAGGACATGTTTTTCTGTGCACAAATGGCTTTATGACTTTTCCGACGACCCAGTAGTCACTGCCCCTTAAAAGCTGTACAACCTTAGTTCTTTCTTAATCCTTACCCCCTGCCTTATACTGCAGTGGTAGTTTATATACATTCATAGAGGAAGGAAGTAGTAACTTTCAGTCCAAGTTAGGATAAAGAGAACTTTCCTGTCCGTGCTTATGGTGTCCCTTTTAGGGTCTTTGGCTCTCAGACTGAGAATCCCTGCCTCAGATTGTCCAAAATGCTGGTTGTGGTGGCTTTCCATTCTAGAAGACTCAGTACAGCATTGGTGTTCTAAAATATCTCTGAGTCGCGTAACATCCTGTGGTCTGGGCTTGAGTGGAAAGCTTGCTCTGTGGTGTCCTCCGCAGGGTGAACAGCTGTCACCGCCAGATGGCCGAGATCGCCGTGAACGCTGTCCTCACTGTTGCAGACATGGAGCGGAGAGATGTGGACTTCGAGCTCATCAAAGTGGAAGGCAAAGTGGGCGGGAGGCTGGAGGACACAAAGCTTATCAAGGGCGTAATCGTGGACAAGGATTTCAGCCACCCGCAGATGCCAAAAGTAAGCCCTTGCCTTTCACAGCCTCACTTTGCCTTTTAACTCTTAAATCCACCAGTTAAAGTAGGGGCCAGCAGATGTGGTAAAGCACTGGACTCCCACGGGCTTGACCTGGTGATTTGCTTTTTCACTTTTTCTCTCTCTGTCTCTCTGCGCTCATGTGAGCTCATGTGTCCTGTAGCAGAATTTAAAAATAATCATAATGGGCCTGGCCATCTCGTGGGGAGAGCCGCCGCGAGCTTTCTTGGCTTGGTGCAGCCCGCTGCTGTCCACAGACGAACTCACTGCCGAGCCGCCATCGTGCCTGGGCATTTACAGGACAGCTTCGGTTGCGTGATCATCAGCCCATTCGACCGATTATTTGATGACAAATCGGACCCCTTTGAGGTGCTAAAGGAAGCATAGAATAAGAAAATAGAAGCCAACAGGGTCATCGTTGGGAGTCCTGGGGCCAAGAGCGTGACTCAGGTCGCAGCCCACACCAGCTCTGCTGTGGCAGGCAAACAGCTGCATAAAGAGTCCCGGACGCAAGAACTCGGTGCCCACCAGTGTCAGCGTGATTGACAGGAGACACAGCCACCCACGATGTTTAAGAAAGAAGGAATATGACATGTTGGAAGGTGACCTGATCAACAGCTTCAGAGTGATGGGAGATAACTGATAGGAGACCGGGAAGGCAACCACCTCCATGAAGGAGATTTGAAAAGCCACCTGAAGAAAAGGGTGAAGGGGCCGAATTTTCAGTTGACAGACCCAAGTATTGACCAACCTGTCCAAGGCTGTGGTGGTCTTGGAAAAGGTCAAGGAGATGGGCTTGATCCCCATGGCGAACGTCAGTTTAAGAGGCATAGTGGAAGTGGCAGATGTGGCCAGAAACATGGGGACAACCATGGAGGTAGCGGCTCTCACAGCTGGGCAACTGCCAAAGGGGAGTTAATTGACAGGGTTCAATCAGCTGTGACCGAGGAAACACCTGAAGGTGAAGAACATCCCATGGCAGTCACAGAAAAGGAGGAAAACCACCTTGAAGAGGTCAAGGAAGAGGGGCCAAAAGAGATGACTGGATGAGTAGAAAGCTATTCAAAATAAGGACTGGGCAAAAGTGGAATTTAATATTTAAAAACCAAACAAAGATGCCCATGGTCAGTGGAAGAAGAGATTTGTTCATAAATCAGTGAAGAGGCTTGCGCCGAAGATTCCGTTACAGACCATCATTTCCGGGAGCCAACAAACCACGTAACATCTCAGCTGGAGATAAATCTTGGAGACTTGGCCACTCCGGGTGGGATGGCAGCAAGGACTCAGTGGGCGTGGTGGACGTCCCAACCATGGCAGCCAGACCAGCACGTCCAGCGCTTTGCTCCTGATGTGGGTGACCTAGAGGCATTCCCAGCTCTGGCGTAACAGTGCTGTAAGACAACCCTGGCTCCTTCATGGGCTGTCCCGTTCAAAGCTTTTGCATGCTTAAGGATCCCAAACAACTAAAATTTTTTTTAAAAAAGGTAATGTCATTCATACCATTCACACCTAAAGACTGAATTTTTTCCATTTTGAAACTGAACTTTTCTGACTACACAGAAGTAACAAGTATGATAATCAGTTTCGTACATAGAAATGTGTTGGTGGCGAGTGTTTTCATAATTTTCAGCGATTACACATTCTTTTTTATTTTTTGGTTTTTTGAGAGTTTTTGGTTGGTTGTTTTTGTTTTGTTGTTGTTGTTTTGGGTTTTTGTTTGTTTGTTTGTTTTTCTGCCGTAGAGCACATGCGCTCACCAGAGAGAGAGAGAGAGACAGAAAGCGAGCTATCACCCCCTGGGGGAATGGTCACGCTGCAATCCCTTCTCTATTCTCTTCTCAGGATGTTGAGCACGCATGCACACTCACCTGGCGTGAGTTTAAGTCACCAGGTTCAGGGCTCAAACCGTGATCAACTACGTGGGAGTCTAGTGACACAGCCCTTACGCCAGCCAACTGCTGGTCCCACGATTATGCATTCTTATAAATACTCCTGAATTGCTGCTTGGAGTGTGCATTTCCAAACTCAAAATACAGGTATGAATGCTGTGTGCCAAAAATAATAGTAAATAAGATAAATAAATCGAGTTTCTATTTCTTCCTGTAGAAAGTGGAGGATGCTAAGATTGCGATTCTCACGTGTCCATTTGAACCGCCTAAACCAAAGACGAAGCATAAGCTGGATGTGACCTCTGTAGAAGACTATAAAGCCCTTCAGAAATACGAGAAGGAGAAGTTTGAGGAAATGATCCAACAAGTACGTCTTACCCTGGCCCTCGGGGGAAAGCCAGATTGCCCGAAGACACACTCGGTTAGGAGTGGCCAGCGTGGTAGCACTGGCTCCCCTCGCCTCGGTGCTTGTCATTATGTGCCCACACATAGCCTTAACCGTATAGTCTTCCTTCAGTTTTAAAATAGAAAAGTAGTAAATGTTCGTACACAGAGATGGTGTCACAGGGTACTGGACAGAGTTGACACCAGTCCCTGGAGCTGTGCGTTGGATTGCACGTGTTCGCTCCCCTGGACAACTTCAGCATGGCCTACCATGTATTAAAGGCTCTGGATATAACTTTGGACAACGGAGGTATTGAGTAACTGGAATTAACTCCAGGTGCTTTCGTAGTAATCCTAATTCTTTGCCTCAGCAAATCAGAGGTGTTTTCTAGATACCTCAGTGTTTCCCTTGTGGCTATTAGTATTCTGGGGGGTGTGTGCTCTGACAGCACTTCCTACTGGGGACTCTGCCCTTGAGGACTTGCACGCAGTACCGTGCTCGAGGACACAGGAACATGGATGTTGGTTAGAGCATCATTTACCGTGGCAACAAACCAGAGGCGGTTCTCATATCCTTTAGGGAAGTCAGGCACTCATTCATCGAATTCATTCATCCCTCCATGGTCCATTCCTCGTGCCCACCACAGGGTGGGTGTGCCTGGCGCTGTTGTAGGTACCAGAGGTGCAGCAGCCAGAACCAGACTCTGAGCCTTTGGCACAGACTAAGGGGAAGGTTGGTGGGCTAGACTGTTGGCACCGAGGAGCCTCTCTCAGGAGGTGGCAGGTGAGCAGAGACCTGTGGACTGAGAGCATCTGCAGAGGAATGTGGGTGGCTTGTGCCGGAATAGCCGGCCTGAGGGGTAGGAGCATGCATGCAGGACAGTGTAGATAAAAGCCCCATGACCTGGTTCCATGGCAGCTTGGGGTCCTGACAGGGGCACCAGAGGGAAAAAAGATACCCAAGAGCCAAAGGTGTGGGGCGGTTGTGCTGCGGATAGGCAGGCTGCAAGAACGGCAGGGGTGGTAGTGGGGAAGATGCTGGAATCTTGAGCAGTGAGAGGGAGCCACACGGGGAACCCGTAGCCTGTTGTGAGCACAGGACAGGAAAAGCAGCCGCCGTCTGAGGATGCAGGACAGGCTGGATCTCGCGACAGGCAGAGTCCATTCACAAACTGTGGCAGACGCGTTGCACAGGAGTATGGTTGTTACAACGCAAGTTGCTGAGGGGGAACGGGCCAGCAGCAGGGTGGGGCTCAGTGTAGTGAACAGGTGGTCGCCAAGGAGGGGCTGGTCAGTTCGGATCTTGGCCTTGAGATAAGTCTCTTGGCTCTCTGCGGGGAGCAGGGTTGTGCTTCCTGGAAACAGGACTGCCGCTCCAGCTCTAACGTGTGACTTGACCCTCGGGCAGTCGTTTCTCAGGTGAGACGAGCACGTTGCAGAGAAGTGTGCCGTAACATTCTGTCTTCGCATCAGGCCCGCGCGCACTTACACTGCTGGGCCTCTGAGGGAGCGGTTAGCAGGACCTTTTCCCTTCTCCCAGAAGGGAGAGGGCACTAGCTTTGTTCACACGTCTTTAGTTTTGCTTCATGACGACGAGCACAGAACAGACCAGCCATTGGATTGTAAAGTGCAGCTTAAAACTGAGGTAGCTCCCGCACGTATGTCGCTGCGGAACTGGAACTGACAGCAGGGTACTCCTCTCTTGGGTGTTGTAATGCGCCCACCTCGCACACCCAGCTGTCCACGTCCTCTGTTTTTGACGCGGCCACATGTGAAGACCACCTTTTTATTGACATGATTGTGGCGATGATCCAACAAATTAAAGACACAGGCACTAACCTAGCTATCTGCCAGTGGGGCTTTGATGATGAAGTGAATCACTTACTTCTCCAGAATAACCTGCCTGCAGTCCGCTGGGTAGGAGGCCCTGAAATTGAGGTAAGAACCTCCACACAGTGCTTCCGAGACACGGAGGTGGAGCTCGCAGTACTTAGATACTTAGCACTTAGCACTCAGGCTGCTCTGGCGCTGCTGGCCTCCACAACCACATCCCCGGGGCTCCCAGGTTACAGGAGGATGAGCTGGGGAGAAATGTGCTAGTCTTTTTTTTTCTTTGACAATGCTGTGTATTTACAGTTATTTCCTGGCATTTTGAAATGCTTTGCCACCCCACCGGGCCCACTCCCCAGCTCTCAAAGGCAGGAAGACCTGGTCTCATCCCCTCCTGTGTTGGCCAGTGCCAACAGCCATCTCGAGCAGCGGTCTGGGTCTTGGTCATACTCTGTCCCGTTGGTCCTCACTGTAGCCCAGGCTCACAGACAGGGCTGTGCAGAGGGGAGAAGAGAGCTTCAGGGGTGCAGGTGGGTCAGGGGTACAGTGGGCAGCGCCCTGCCAGACCAGGGCACCCAACTCTTCAGAAATATGTTCGTGTAACAAGTGCTGTGTGGGTTCCGGTGAGCAGTGTGGTCCTAGACACAGTTTAGCTCATTCGTGGTCCAGCTTTGAAAGTTAACTGTTCTGTGACATTTCCTCTGTCCCCTAACCCATTCCACTTAGTTGATCGCCATTGCGACTGGAGGGCGGATCGTCCCACGGTTCTCTGAGCTCACAGCTGAGAAGCTGGGCTTCGCTGGGCTCGTACAGGAGATCTCATTTGGGACAACTAAAGACAAAATGCTGGTCATCGAGAAGTGTAAGAACTCCAGAGCCGTCACCATTTTCATTAGAGGAGGAAATAAGATGGTGAGTACTCAGTCAACTGATACCTGGTTGCTCATCATGCGTTTAACTGAGACACAGTTACCTTACAGATACTTCTCCAGACCACGATGTGTCCTGGTGAGAATCGCTGAAGACGGTGTTAAATTGTCCATTTTATGAGGCACATTGCGTTGCCTTCTTCTGTCCCTCGGGTAGACTGGGAACCCCATGTTAGTAGACCTCGGCAGTCTCTGTTCTTCAAGAACAAATGGTTAGCACACCGAGGTGAGTCCAGACGTCACTGAGAGGCTGTGGCTTTGTCGGTTCTTGGCCACCTGGCTTCATTGTGTGTCCTGAACAGAGTCACTATGGCTTCCTCTGCCTGTTGAACCTCTAAACTATTATTGTGAGGAGGAAACGCATGGCGAAGATTATCTGCACATCTTGTCCATTTGGTTTTAATCTATATAGTTCTTATTTTTTGTTTGTTTAAGAATAATTTTATTTATTTATTTATTTTAATTTGACCAGAGAGGGACAGAGTGAAAGAGAGTAAAGAAAGGGAAAGTGAGAAAGCAAGCCACCAGACCCAGGACTCAAAGCAAACTGTGGTTGGCCATGTGGGAATCCAGTGCGCTTAACCACCATGCCACCTGCCGGCCCCTTAACCAATATGGCTTTAATGAGGGCAGTTAGGATTATTCTCAGTAGCCAATACACTTAGACTAAACCAGAGATGCCTGGTATTTAGCTCTAAAATGCATAGACCTTGTTCACATTTAATTTAGGCAAAACTGTTTTTTATAGATTATTGAAGAAGCAAAACGATCCCTTCATGATGCCCTGTGTGTCATCCGGAACCTGGTCCGCGACAACCGCGTGGTGTACGGAGGAGGTGCTGCCGAGATAGCGTGCGCCTTGGCCGTTAGCCAAGAGGCAGATAAGGTGGGATAGGTGGGAAGACTCATTATTCTGTAGAGACGTTTAATATTCTGATACATTAAACATAGTCGGGATGGCCTGTCCTTCAAACTCGGAGTTAGTGTTTTTAATGTATGTATACAGGTGTATTTCCATAGTGTTGCCGGGTTGGTTTTTCTATTGGTTTTTCCTTATTTGCCAAATGCACTTGCTGTGCCCTGTGCCCTTCCAGTGCCCGACCTTGGAGCAGTACGCCATGAGGGCTTTTGCAGACGCGTTGGAGGTCATCCCCATGGCCCTTTCCGAAAACAGCGGCATGAACCCCATCCAAACTATGACCGAAGTCCGAGCCAGACAAGTGAAGGAGATGAATCCTGCTCTTGGAATTGACTGTCTGCACAAGGGCACAAACGGTGAGGCCCCGCCGCGCGTCCTTGTGGTGCTGCGTTGTATTTAAGTGGATCGTTGAATTTTGAGTTTATTGTACAGTATCTAATAGGGGTTCTCAAGTTGATGGGAAATGCATATTAGGTAAAGTCTATACCAAGATTTCTCATTATTTTATGCCAGAAGAACCTCATTTAATTCCATTATTTCATAAACTTGTTAAAGTCCCCTCATAATAGAAACTATGAAGTATTACCTTTTTAAATATCTAAACATTTTTGGGTGTTGAACAACAATTAATCATAAGATGGTATTAATACCAGAGATTTTTTTTTTTTTTAAGAATTATTTTATTTAACTTTATTTTTTTTTTAATTTGACCAGAGAGGGACAGAGAGAGAGAGTGGAGGGTAGTGAGAAAGCACACCACCAGGTCTAGGACTCGAACCATGGTTGGCCTTGTGGAAGTCCAGCACCCTTAACCACAACACCACTTGCTGGCCCAGAGAGGACTTGTTTTAATTTCTGATTTTAGAAAATAATTCCTGGGGCCATTAGAGGGCGTAATGGTTACATTGCTGGACTCCACGTAGTCAGCCACATGGCCAACCACAGCTCAAGTCTCGGACCTGGCGGCTTGCTTCTTGATTTCCCTCCCTCTGTCTCTGACAAACAGAAATAATTAACTCTTAAAAGAAAAGCAGGTGTGGAGACCAGCAGTTGGCGTAATGGCTATGTCGTGGACTCTCATGTAGTCCACCACAGTTCAAGTCCCGGACCTAGTGACTTAAACTCAGGCCAGCACATGTGTGTGCTGGCCCAAGATCCCAAGAGGAGAAGGGATTGCAGAATGGCCATCTCCCAGCGGTGACGGGGGGCTGGGGGGTGATTTCTTGCTTTATATCTCTACGTTTGTCTCTCTCTCCAGCGAGCACATGCACCCTATAACAAAAGTCTCTTGGGGGGGGGATTCACATGTTGCTTTTCTTGACACAAATAGACGTTTGTCAGAGTGGGTTCTGGATGTCATGTAAAACAGCTCTGAGGACCGGCAGGTGGCATGGTGTTTAAGGGCGCTAGATTCCCACATGGCCAGCTGCAGTTTGAGTCCCGGACCTGGCAGCTTGCTTTCTCACTTTCCTCTTGCTTGCACTCTCTCTCCTTCACTCTGTCAAATAAAAATAAATAAATGGGTTTTTTTGTTTGTTTTCAATGCTCTGAAACGCACTTTTTAGTTTGTAGTTTGCTATGTGGTTACATCCTGGATTATTCGAGTGTCCTATAAAAAGTGAAGATCGGGAACCAGCAGTTAGCGTAATGACTATGTCGCTAGACTCCCACGTAGTCTACCGCGGTTCGCGTCCCGGACCCGGTGGCTTAAAACTCACGCCAGGCGCATGTGCGTGCGTGCCCAAGATCCCAAGAGGAGAATGGAGGAGAAGGGATTGCGCCGTGATCATCCCCCCTGGGGGGTGATTTCTCGCTTTCTGTCTCTCTCTCTCTCTCTCTCTCTCTGTCTGGCAAGAGCACGCGCCCTATAGCAAAAACCTCTCCTGGGGAAAAAAAAAAAAAAGAGTGAAGATACATTCTACTTTAATGCTCACATCCCAAATTTTAATTATAGCACCTTTTTGTCAGACACATATTTAATGTTTTTAATTGAATGCCTGGCTCTAAAATGTAGTGTTGACAGTCTTTCGGGAAATACACATCTCAAGTGCTATCAGATCTCACTCGTTTCTAGTTAACTAAGTTAGGGTCTGAGTACTCTGGGGTACGATGTCACTGGAAGGTTTTATCTTTTATTCCTTGGGGAGGGGTGTGTCCCTGCTTCCCCACAGGTGTTTTTAGGCAGACTCAAATTTCTAGCTGTTCTCAGAAGTAATAAAATTGTATTCATTTGAGTACCAGCAGATGGCATACTGGTTATGTTGCTAAACTCCTATGTTGTTGACCACGGTTCAAATCCTGGACCCGGCAGCTTAAATTCACACCAGGAACGTGTGCACGTGTTCCCAAAATCCCAAGAGGAGTCTGGAGGAGAAGGGATTGCAGCATTGCCATCCCTCCAGGGGTGATTTCTCACTTTCTGTCTCTGGCAAGTGAGCACCCCCTGTAGCAAAAATCTCTCAAAAAAAGTTTTGTGTTCATCTGAAACTGAAATATAATGAACAGTGGCCTCCCGCATTGTCAGTAGTGTGGATTTTTTAAGTTTTACTGTGATTTCATATCAGTTTGTTACCGATACCAAGTACATTTGCTGTTCTGGGGTAATCAATGTACTTGTGTTTTTCAGATATGAAGCAACAACATGTCATCGAAACCTTGATTGGAAAAAAGCAACAGATCTCTCTTGCAACACAAATGGTTAGAATGATTTTGAAGATTGACGATATCCGTAAACCTGGAGAATCTGAAGAATAAAAACTGTAGGGTGAAATGTAGTGAGATCCACTACTGTGAGTAAATAAATGGGTGTCTTGTGATGCATCTGCAGTTATTTATTATTCTGTCCTTTCAGACGCTGGAGATGCTGTAATAGAAAGTTCCCTGCTCAGAGCTGTGTAATTGTAGGGGTACTCTCGGTCTTTTGTATTCCTTATATTAAAGGGATCTCTTTAAAGAACCTTCGTTTTTCTCTTGAAGTTTAAGAAACACTCATCATAACATTAATTAAATGCTGCCTTAAGCGGTTTAAGTGAATTTTTAAAAAATAAGCTGTAGGAGCTATTGTAACAGCTTAAGCATTGCACGTGTTCTGAATGTCTGTTGTAGCATTGAGCGGAACATGGGCTTGATTCCGTTTAAATGGGTGGGCCTTTGATGGTTGCGAGGGGTCATTGATGAGTCTTTCTCCCACGGAGTTCCGGGGTGTTGTGGAGATGCTGGGGCCAGTGCTGACAGTTTGGTCTTGTTTAATCCCCTCTGCTTTGTTGTGGTCTTGGCCCTTTCGTGAACACCAGTCAGCCTGTGGGCCGAGCTGTACCGCCAGCAGGTGCTTCGTGGGGCAGTTGGGAACTCCGTGTTTCATCAGAGGGACAACGTAAATAGTAGGTAGAGTGAGAATAGGGGAGGGTTTGGATCAAGTGGGAAGAAAGCTTTGCCATGAGCAGGACAGGTAGACCAGTGCTTACCAACTGACCACCCTGCTCGTGGGCCCCGCAGTTCTGAGAACTTGACCTGGCCTGTCCCCGTCCTCACGGCCCACGCAGTAGATGCATTCTTACTGTTCACATCTTGCCAGGCTTCTGATAACCTGCCAGCATTTGTCACCAGTAAGTGGCAGTCAGGTCAGTCCCAGCAGCCTGACCTCTGAGTTTCCATCTCATCCCTTACCACCTTCTGCCCCAGCTTCCCTGTTAGCTGGGGCGGCAGGCGCACACCACCCCACCGTTCCTCACCTCTATAGGGTGAGCTGAGCATAAACTCAGGCCTCCCCTGCTGCCTGAGATTGGGTCCTTCCTGCTTGCATCCCAGTAGTCAGCCATGTGATGCCTTTAAGTTCCAAATAGGGTTTTTGGGTTTTTTGTTTGTTTGTTTGTTTGTTTGTTTGTTTGAGGTTTTTGCTATAGGGCGCATGCACTTGCCAGAGAGACAAAAAGCAAGAAATCACCCCTGGGGGGATGGCCACGCCACAATCTCTTCTCCTCTCGGGATCTTGGGCACCCGGCATGAAAGCCACCGGGTCTGTAATAGAAAGTGCTGTTTGGTTACCACAGTTCCCTGCTAGAACCATGGTCAACTGCATGAGAATCCAGCAACGTTGCCATTATGCCAACTGCTGGTCCTGCAAATAGGTTTTAAGAAAACATAATAGACAGTAGCACCGAAGTTAGCTGTGGGAACTGCCGGCCACTGTGCTCCCACCTGCAGACGGCAGCACCCCTTCCATTCTCAGTCGCTAGTCTAGAAGCTGTGTGAGGGACTTGACAGATGTTAAGGTCGCTCATCAGCTGACCTGACATTGGGAAGGATGACCAAGGTGGGCCCAGTGCGCCCTCAGATAAAGGTTTAGTGAAAGGGGACCACAGCCAGAGAAAATTTCAGCACTGCGCGGGGGCTCAGAGATGGGCCACATGCACAGGACTGAAGGTGGCCCCCTGCTGGCAGCCAGCGAGGAGACCTCAAGATCACCACCACTAGAAACAACCTTGGAAGTGGGTTTTGTCCCCAGCCTCCCAGTAGCCAGCCGGTCAACACTGTGAGGGCATCACAGAGCCAGCACAGAGCAGGCGCCTGGCATGGCCAGCTGGCTTCTTGACAGCCGCACGATGGAACACGTGCCGCCGAGTCGGTCTCGGCGGCACTCGGAGCCTCCTGCTGCTGTCTGGCCTCAGCTGGGAATGGGGGCCCTGGGGTCATCTGTGTCACTAGGTGCCATTTTTTTATTTTTTTACTTCTTTTTGTTTGTTTGTTTGTGTTTTTGGAGAGGTTTTTGCTATAGGGCACGTGCGCTCGCCAGACAGAAAGCGAGAAATCACCCCCCAGGGGGCATGGCCACGCCGTAATCCCTTCTCCATTCTCTTGGGAACTTGGGCACGCGTGCACACATGCCTGGCATGAGTTTTAAGCCACCGGGTCTGGGACTCGTACCCTGGTCTTTTTAAATAATTTTTTATTATTATTTTTTTTTTAATCTTGACTATGAAGAAGGGAAAGTGAGAAAGCGAGCTTCCAGGTCCGGGGACTCAAACCCAAGCCAGCCATATGGGAATCCAGCACCTTAACCACCACACTGCTTGCCGGCTCAATCCTATCTCCCCTCAGAGCTCCTCTCTCCTCTGCGTTGGAGATGGTCCTTAGTGGTCCCCACCTATGTGGGACTCCTGGGCACAGGATAGGACCCCCCTCCTGGATCCTGCTAGGCCAGTGAGCTGGGAGAAGCAACGTTTCCTTGCCAAGGCCAGGCCCTGCAGAGCTGGCCTTCCTTGGCGGGCTGTGTGCGGTAACCCGAGGTGAGACTGCACTGCCAGCCTGGGTTCCCCCCACACACAGCCTGCTGGTGCATGCTCAGCCTCCTCCCTCTCCTGCCCCTGCCCTCACTGCACTCTCCAAGCCAACCCTCTGCTCTGCCTGCGGCCCTGTGCAGGAAACAGGTCACGTGGGCTTCCGTTGGAGCCCTGGGAGGTTTCCTGGGTGGTGGTCTCTGTCCTGTCACAGGGTGGACTTGCCCCTTCATCTTACCCCTTTTTTCCCTTTATTTGTTCCCTCTGAAACTCCTCCCGGGAATTCTGTGAGGAAGGCTTTGTCCTGGCAGTCCTCCCACCTTGCTGGCTGTTCAGTGCACCCTCCCCACCTTGCCCTCTGACAGCTGCCATCTACTCATAGACCAGAACTTGGGCCCCACCATCACCCAAGTGCAAGATACACATACCACGTCACATGTGACCCCACGGTCATGTGATGCTCCTCATGTAGTTTACACTGAGAAGAACGGTCAGAATTTAGGGAAGTGGCCCCAGTCACACAACTAGCGACCTCAGCATACTTGAAGCCCTCCGCCTCCTGCCTGCCTGCCAGCTAGCTCAAGCTCTCCATTCTCCTGTCCTCCCTGCTGTTGGGGCTCAGAACGTGGAACCTCAAGGCACGGTGCCGTGCACGCTGAACATGTAATCCGAGGTGATGGGGAGGCCTCGGGCAGACCCCACCCTTCTGTGTCCTCCCTGCCCCTTCTCTCCTAGCACTGGCCTTAGCAACCAGGACCCACCTTCCCCAAAGCAATCCATGAAACCTGGGAAGGGCGCTCCTCCATTGAAGACGCCCACCTTCCAGGAGGAAGCGATGCTGCACAGGAAGACCCCAGGGAGTGAATGGCAGGCCTTCCATCTGCTACCCTCATCCACTCACGGTTTTTATAAACTTGCTAGCGGGCGCATACACTCGCAAGAGAGGAGGGAAGGTGAGAGCACCCACCATGGGACATGGTCCCCCTCAGCTGTATTCATGGGGGGGTGGGAGGAGCACACGGGGGGACTTCAGGGACAGTTTTCCCTAACTAGAGAGACAGGGACAAACTTCCTAACTAGAAAGACAGGAACAGACTTCTCTCCCTAACTAGAGACAGGAGTGCAACCCACTCACCCCCACACTTCCCTGCTGGCTGTGTTTTGTGAGGCTGCACCTAAGCTCTGCCCCAAGTACATGGGCACCCACCCAAGGGCCTGATTCCAGGAAGACCCTGGACCCCTTTGGAGGTGCTCAATGTTGCTCTTGGCTGAGTTTTCTGGTATTTGCAGCCCTAATTGATATTCCAGACTAGACAAAAAAAATCCTTTCTCCCACAGCCATGTGTCTCTGGGATTTCCTAACCTGGACCATCTCAGCAGACCTCTCACCCCTCCATCCCCTGCCCTCTGGGTCTCTGCTGTAAATGCTGCGGGACCCTCCTCACCTCCCCATCACCCACCTGGTAACTCCCTATTCCCTTGCTCCCTCCCTCCCAGAAGGGCTTTAGTCCAAAAACACAAATGCCATTTTGTAACTCCAAGGGCCTAGAAGAACACCAGCTTAGAGCTCTGGACCAGCCAAAACAGGCCACCCCTTTAGGGAAGACAAAGGGGAGGGTGTGGTTCTCCGAGGTTGGGAGTGTCCTTCCATAACAGAAAGGCCTTGAGTCTGTAGACTGCTGAAGACCCAGGACTGGTAAGAAATTGCCCAAGTTGACCAGGCACATTGGGATATATGCCCCACCCTCAACCCGACTTAAGCAAACCCCCTCCCAGGGTCTTCTTATGGCGGGAGCCCTGTACAGGGCCCAGGCCTGGATGAGAGAGAAGATGAATGACTGAGGAGCTAATGAGAGAGACAAATATTTGTCTAGGCCTGAGAGGTTTGGCAAATTCTCCAGGCTACTATTGATAACAACCAACTATCTGCATATTTGCCCATTATTGGGTTGCTAACAGAAATACCTAACTCTGGGTTTATAAAAAATACTTTTTTAAGGGCTAGCAAGTCACGGAGTAGTTAAGGGCACTGGACTTCACATGGCTGACCGCAGTTCAAGTCCCAGATCTGGTGGCTCTTTCTCTCTCACTCTGTCCCTCTCTTGTCAAATTTAAATAAATAAATAAAGTTAATTTTTTTTTTTAATATTTTTAAAAGAATTTTTTGTTTAATATTATTTATTTCCTGTAGGGAATGCACGCTTATCAGAGAGAGACAAAGAGAGGGAAAGTGAGAAGCCAAGGTGCCAGGTCCAAGACTTGAACCGTGATCAGCCATTTGGGAGTTGAACACCTTGACTACCACACCACCTGCCAGCACCAAAACTAGATGTTTAATTGGCTCACAATTCTGGAGGCTGGAAAGCCCAAAGGCATGGGTCTGGTGTCTGGCCGGCATCTGGTGCTATGTCTCAGCATGGCCCAGAGGGAAAGGCGAGCTCATGCAGAGAGCAAAAAAAGGAAACAGACTTTTCAACCCCCCCTTTGTCGCTCCCATGCTCCCAGCTGATTGGATGGTGCCCACTCCCATTGAAGCTGGGTCTTCCTCCCTCTGTCCACTGCCTAACTTGTCTGGCAAAGTGCCCACCTATACTGAAGGTGAGTCTTCTTAAGTCTTACCACTTCCCGATGCCATTACATTAAGGACCAAATTCCAACACATGAACCCTTGGAGGACGAACCATTATCTAAATCGTGACAGCAGGGCTGTCCCACGAGGGGCCAACAGGATGTACAGAAAATCAACAGGCTGATGCTAGATTAGAATCCCCTTTGCCAGTGAAGACCTGCGTGTGTGGCCAGTGGCTTGACAAGTGGCTAGTGCTACTGGGGAGCTCAGATTTTAATTTAAATGTAAAAGCTGAAGCAGTGCAGCGTACTTCTGCAAAAACGACAAAAATGAGAAGGCTGTTCTGTGGACACCGACACCTGTAGAGCTGCTCTGCATAAACTGCCAGGCCCTTCCAAACTTTGACACTCACACTCAGTGAGCTTCAGAGTCATACCAAGCCTCCTAAAACAAAAGATGAACCAGTTTTGTCCATGTCCAAGGTGAGCCGTAAAGAAAAGTGCGGGTACAGCCTCAATTTCTAGAAAACTTAAAGCATGTTTGGAACAACTTGGGTATTTTTATTTGTCAGACTGTTGAACTTGCTGAGAGAGAAAGGAAAAAGCACCCTCTAATGGAATACAATCACACCACAATTTATTCTCCATTTTCCATCCTGTTGGGATTTTTGCATATACACATGCATGCATTGGCATCATTTTCAAGTTGCCCTGGCCAGGACTTAATCCATCATTTTCTATCATCTTAAAAGAAATAAAGCTACAAATTTTTTTAAAAATCACTTTATTACATTGATATCATTAGGTCAATGGAAACCTATTTTTATCTCATTACTTCTCATATTGCAGTATGTGAATCTGACAAATTCAGTGGTTTTTTTTTGTTTTTTTTTTTTTTTTGAGAGAGAGAGGTTTTTGCCATAAGGTACATGCACTCACCAGAGAGAGAAAATAAGAAATTATCTCACAAGGCGGATGGCCATGCCACATTCCCTTCTCCATTCTCCTCTCAGGACCTTGGGCACGCACGCACACACACACACACACACACACACACCCATGCCCACACACATACACACACCTGGCAAGAGTTTTACATTGCTGGATCCAGGACTCGAACTGCAGTTGACTACGTGGGAGTCCAGCAACACAGTCATTATGACACTGCTGGTCCCCCAAATTCAGCTCTCTTAAGACAGAGACAATAGGGTTCTGAATTCACCCCAGTTTACAGTTCATGTTCTTTATAGCTTTCCAACAGTAGCTAGGCTAGGTTTAAGGATGTGTTCAATTAAAGATAGGAAGGCCATACCTGAGCTGTCCACTACTCCCTGAGCAGCCCTAGGTTTTTGTTAATAATTCGGGGATGCATCCAAATTCTTTGGATACTGACCTATATTTTAAATTTTTATTTGATGTATTAATACATGTTTAAAATTACATTATTTCATACATTAAAATTTCCTGCTAAATTTGTTTCAGGTGAAATAATGAATTTCAGGATTCTTAAACTTATTTTATATAAAGTGAGAAATTAAATGGATTTGGGAGTGAGATCTCTTTCCTTCCCTGAATCACTGCTAAATGTATTTGTTCAGCCATTCGATTAAGTTCCTTCTCGCCTCATCAATATAGGGCTTGTCTTCAGGTGAGCAATCTTCTCTTTTTCGATGCACAAACCCATGTGTTTGCCCAGAAAAGGTTTTAATTTGATATTCAACTTTGCAGTGGTCTTTCAATTTCTGCGTCAGCAAAGAGACCTGGAATGCAAAAGATTTCAGAATAGTAGGATTTTAACCCTTTGGTCATATTTCCCATCTTCCAAATCATCAGTGATTGTTTATAAAAGAGATTTAACATTGATTAAGAGGTTATAAACAAGTTCCACAGCTACACTGATGTCTTTCTTTTAATTTTATACCCAGCACAGTTCTCGCCTATGGCCAAGGAAAGATTACAGAGCAACTAAACATGACACAACTGCAATGATCTGAATCTTGTGTCCTAGTGCATCATTTATCAATAACAGCAGTCATTTCTAAGTTACTGCTTTTGAGCAACAATTTTCTTCTACTTTTTCCTCATCGTCATACTGGATTTACCACATCCACATGTGGCTTTTTATGATTACTCGTTGGCTGCCATAGGGGGAGAAAGAGCCTACTCTATACTCAAATACCAGGCCAAGCTGAGAGCACTTCCTGCATCTGTCATGTTAAATAAGCACGTTTTGGGGTTATGAATCCCCTCTAAGTGCCTGAGAGAATCCATCTTTAAAATGTTAATGTAGAAAAACATTCAGAGCAAGAAAAATGGAGGAGAAAGGACTGCGGTGTTCAATATATAAATGAGAAGAGGAAGGATGGGAGCTTACCTGCTCAAGTGGAATCACAGCATCGTTTTCAGCAAAAATGAATAACGTGGGGTTCTTCAAACTGTAAACATCTTCAGAATCCTTGACAATGCCTGAAAATTTGGTACAGGGCATGAGAGTATGGGCTTTATACTAGGGCCACAGTAAGCCACATGCATTTGGTTTGATTTTTCAAGCCAAAATATGTACTTCTGGGCTTTATTTTCTCTATGGGGCATTTTTTATTTTCTTTTTTAGCAATTCCACAGAAGTGGCCTGGCCTACAAAATTAGTGTGTAAGAGACATACTGAGTCAGCTCCTCCTACTCTCCACTTTACCCACTAGGTATCAGGCCACCGAATAATGAAATTAGACTCTGGAGTCGCTTGGTATCTCAAGATACAGGAGCAGCTTGGTGGGGGCTCTCTTGAGAGGTGATCATTTTCTTTTTTTTAAGAATTATTTATTTATTCATTTATTTATCTTAATTTGCCCACAGAGATACACAGAGAGAGAGAGGGAAAGTGAGAAAGTAAGCCACCAGGTCCAGGACTCGAACCATGGTCGGCCATGTGGGAGTGTCCAGCGCCTTAACCACCACACCACTTGCTGGTCCCAAGAGGTGATAACTTTCAAATCGTCATACTAGAACTATTATTTATGCTCAGATGACACCACTGCCTCCCAGGTTATTCTGTAAAAATCAGTTATTATCTTTGGTCTCAGAATTTTACAGACTAGTCAAAAGCACACTCTGCCCAACCTGGGGGTTCTGGAAACAACCTGCAGATGTGCTTGCTTCTACAGAAACTAATGAAAAGTTTCACAGGAAGTTACTATTTTAAGAGAATAAAGGAAACAGTGAAGGGGCCAGCAGGTAGTGTGGTGGTTAAGGGTGCTGGTCTCCCACATGGCTGACTACAGTTCAAATCCCAGACCTAGTGGCTTGCTTTTCTCAATTTCCATCTCTCTCTCCCTGTCCCTCTCTGCTCAAATTAAAATAAGCAAATAAATAAATAAAGTTAAATAAAATAATTCTTCATAAAAGGAATCTCCCTGTCCCTCTCTGCTCAAATTAAAATAAGCAAATAAATAAATAAAGTTAAATAAAATAATTCTTTATAAAAGGAAAGAAAAGAGTGATGACTTTTTCTCCACTTCCTGCCAGCAGCCCAGCCAAGTCAGTAATAGAGAGCCTCCCCTCACCTACAACTCCTCTCTAGGCTGGGAGCCCCAAGAAAAATGACCTTTGCTCCCTGCCACAGTCTGGCAAAACCATGCCTGGTTCTGCCACCCCCTTGAGCCTGCGGTTGGCCACGTTCTACAGTAAATGTAAGACACAAGGGCCACCAGCAGATGGCGCCACCGCAGCGTCCACTCCTGAGCACTTCTGCTAATTCAGGCACTGACGGGACAGGCTGGACCCTGGACCCACATCGCAGAGGCAACAGGCCAGTTTTTTTTGTTTTTTTGGTTTTTTTGGAGAGGTTTTTGCTATAGGGTGTGTGCGCTCGCCAGAAAGACAGAGAGAGACAGAGAGATAGAAAGCAAGAAATCACCCCCCAGGGAGAATGGCCACACTACAACCCCTTCTCCTCCATTCTCCTCTTGGGATCTTGGGCAGGCACGCACATGCGCCCGGCGTGAGTTTAAGCCACTGGTTCAGGACTCGAACCATGGTCGGCTACATGGGAGTTCAGCGACATAGCCATTACGCCAACTGCTGGTCCTGGCAACTGGCCTTTTACTAACTCAATTTCCTTTTTATAAGTAAACATTTGAAGGACTTTTTTAAATGCTAAAAGCAGGTGAAAATACCAGTAAGGAATCACTAAGCCAAGTAAGAGTCATTAGTATAACTTTAGGATATACTGTTATAAAAGAAGGTGAAACTTCCTGGTGTCTTTCTTTCTTGGTTTTTCACAGTTTTTGTTTTTGTTTTTGTTTTTGTCTGAATGCTTCTGTGGCATGCGCTTAGTGTGCAGTTTCTATGCACGATAGGATGGTCTTACTCCTGGGCTATGATAGTGCTGGTTCATGTGGCCAGAATGTGTGAAGTCGCTGTTTGCACAGTAGAGTGGGTTTTCCTTTGCTTTCTTTCCTTCTTTAGTGTGTGTGCCTAGGTGAGGGCAATTCACTTCGTGGGCAAGTATTTTTATAGATGTTACTCAAAAACACTGCTTGACCTCAGTCAGCATCAGGAGGAAAGACTCCCATCACCCTAGTGAGGAAACGAGACTGGTCGAGTGGCTGCCCCGAGTCGCAGGGCCACAGGGCCAGGACCAGCCCTCTGTGCGCCCAGCGACATCCGCTGGTCACTGCATTACCAAACTCCACCTGTATTTTCAGATTCTTTTTAAAAACCTTTTCTTCATACATGGTAAAGCACAAGGGTGCCCACGTGAGAGGGAGTGGGGGAGAGAACCACCACAGGGTGCGTCGTTCCGCCATGCCCCTCCTCCGCTCCTCTCAGGGATCCTGGGAACTCAGGTGTATTTCAGGCTGACTGGCAGGAGATGCAAACCACGGTCACCATGTGGAGTCCTGCTGCTGCTTTTTTTTTTAAGTGTTTGCCAGAGGGTGTGTGCACTCGCCAAAGAGAGGCAGAGAGAGAAAGCATCCCACCCCACCCTCTCGTGGCACACTGCAGTCCCTTCTCCACTGCTCTTCCTTTCAGGGTTTTGGGCACACATCCACATGCACAAAGCAAGTTTGTCAAGACAGCAGGTCTGGGGCTTGAACCTTGCTCTCAGCCATGTGGAATCCAGGCACCTTAACCACCATGCCACCGGCTGGCCCGAGGATCCAGCTTCTCCTGCAGGGTGCATTACCACCATGCCATGGCACCGGCCCTATTTTCAGATTTTTAAAGCCAATTTTCTTGAGCCGAGTCATCTCTCCACTGCGTTCTGTGTTGCACTGGGTGGGAAAGCCGAATGGTTAGTGTCACTCAAATAGCCCTGTTACACTGTAAAAACACACGAGGCAAGGTTACCGTAGACAGACACCCCTGCCTTGAATTCTGAGGATGCCATCATCAGATGATGGACAGCAGTTCCGCCCCAGCAGAAGCCCACAACGCCAATTTTCTGGGCGTGACACTGCTGCTTCAGATACTTCAAGACGGCGTTAATCTCTCTAGAAGAGAAAAAATAAAGGCATTCAAAATCCCAGGGTTATTTTCTGAGCCCTCGAAGGGCTGTGCCAATGACAACAGGGCTGTATTGGCAACTGCTATTGGAAGTTATCAAAGATTCTTATTTTTGGAACTGCTTCCTGACCACCCCTGGCCCATCCCAGCAGGTCTCCCCGCCAGGCCCACCTGGTGAGGCTGCAGGCCTGCTGTGGTCTTTCCAAAACACAGATGTGACCCCTTACTTCCTGGCAGAGCTGAGCACCGGCTCCCACAGCCTCAGGATAAAGGCCAAAATCCACAACTTGGTTCCTAAGACCTGACTGTCCCCTCTGTCCCCTCAGCCAGCTGCCATCCCACGCACTCTGAACTGACACATTGCGTTCTCTCTCCCACACTCCCTACTCTGCATCACTGACCTCCTCCAGCTCCCAAGAAGGAAGCAGAATCTGCCTTCACCAGAGCCAGAGCCCAGCCAAGGGACCAAATAAAGTTGCTCTCATCTGCAAATGGCTCATTTGCAAACGGATCCACTGCCAGACTGAGCCACTGTAGCTCGCAAGAAGGCACCAAACAGATCTAGGGCTGCAAGGAGAGCCTGGGAGGTTCTGTTTGATCCAATAGAAATAAATGCAGTGTTTGTAATTTTAAAAAAATAACAATCCTATGGCACTTTTTATTTTTTTCTTGAATGCTTTTATTTTAGGAATAACTGCCTTAACTGCAAAGGACATGGAGGAAAAAGACATTTTTTCTGAAAATTCTTTAACCACAGTCCCCAATCAGCTGAGACAATGGGCTGATGTTTGATCTAGTTCCTTTTTTTTCTTCCTTTACCCTTCTCAGCTGGTTGGTCCTGCAGCCAGAAGGAGAAGAAGAATGGGTTGACCCAATTAACCTCTGAAACCCAGCCGTCCAGGTACACGGCCCCACATGTCACTCCCACAAAGCCCCACTTTGGCATCAGGCCCCGAGAAGGTTCTCAGGGGGCAGAGGAGCTGCTGGGGCCACAGGGGAGTATGTTGGTTCTACCTTTGTCTCCTACGTTGTACTAAATGCACCCCATTTTCCTTTACTCTGTGAGAAGGACCATTGGCTGGGGCCATGCTCAGCCCTACCCCGAGGGAGCGAGGCAGGATAGGTACCTGAGTGAAGCCCCCACCACTATCCTCCCTGGGCCAGCTGTACCAGCCATGTGGTCACCACTTACTTATGGATCTTCCTGGCATTTCTCGTTTTCAACCACTCAGGGAAGGTGGACCAGTCACCGGAGGGGTCCCACGGCTCCTGCCCTACAAAGAAGTCTGGCACGATGGTCCTGCAAACATGGACGTCATTTGGTCTTAGTTCCAGTGTCCTTTGGACGCCTGCTTGCTTACCCGGACTGAGAAGCCTGCTAAGCTGGTGACTCTGACTCAGACGGGACTGCCGCAGCGTGAAGGCCAGCCCTGGTGGAAGCCAGAGGCCAGCTGGTGCTGGACTCAGCCATCTCGGATTTCACAACCGCAGGTGCAGGCCTGGCAGCCTGCTGCAACCAGCCCTGAGGATGGCAGGCGCTCCCAGGGACACTCCACATGGGCTGCAGGGTGCCTGGGCCCAGCCTGGGGCAGGGCAGACTTGTACATCGGCTGCCCCAGGCCTCTCTGGGCCTCTCACCAGAGCCTGGAACCAAGGGCACACCTGGGCAGCACCCAGTCATCATGACCAAGCAGTTTCCCGCCTCCACCCGGCCACCAGAAGGCAGCTTTCTGCCCAGAGGGCAAGGTCCAGAGTAGGTTCTAAAAGAGGCCACGCCCAGACCGTGCTGTTCTGCCCCAGCCACCCAGGAGCCAAGGCAGCTCAGCCAGAGACCTGGTTCCTAAAATAAAGAGCTGTGGGGACCCGAGGGAGGCAGCGCCTCCTGCAGGAGCAAAAGTACCCCAAGACTTGGAATGGAGAATCCCAGCTCGTCCTCCTGCGAGCCCTGCCCTGTGACCTTAGCCCCTCACTCAGCTGCTTTCAGCTTCTAGCCCCATTGTCTGGATCCACCAATGTCAGCTCCCAGCCAGTCACCAACCTCAGGGCTCTGAGGACATAAGGAGGTGCCTAAGTGAACGTGCTTGGGGCCAGCAGGTAGCATAGTGCATAGTGGTTAAGGCACTGGACTCCCACATGGCTGACCACAGTTCGAGTCCTGCACCCAGTGACTGGAAATTCACACCCAAAATCCCAAGAGAAGAATGGAGGAGAAGGTACTGCAGCGTGGCCATCCCCCCAGGAGGTGATTTCTCACTTTCTGTCTGTCTCTCTTTCTTTCTGGCAAGCACACACACCCTAGAGCAAAAACCTCTCCAAGATAAATAAATAAATAAATAAGTGAAGGCCCTCATCATGCATAGGTGTCTCCACTCATCCTCACTTCCTGACTCCAGCTGACGGCCCAGAGCCCACTCGGTCAGAGCCCACTGGTCAGCGTCAGCAGCGGCAGAGGGACCCAGGGCAACCTCTCGCCTCTGTCTTTCTGCCCTGGTTCCCCGACCAGTAAAAGGAACAACGGCAGCTCCTCCCTCCGGGCTTGCTGGGAGGATCAGGATCCCTGAAACACCCTCAGCCCAGAGGCTGGCCGCGCCAAGGCAGTCGGGGTGGGGTCTGCTAGTACTGGGCTGCCCCAGGAAGGTGTGGGCTCTGCTAGTACTGGGCTGCCCCAGGAAGGTACAGCGCCTCAACCTCCAGAGCCTGGGCCAAAAAGGCAAGAGGCATCTTTCCATTCCCCACGAGGTTCACGGCCTGCACATGTGACTCCCTGGAGCCAGTTCCCCTTTGCAGGACACTGCTGGCTGCACCCTTGGGTTCCAGCCTCTCTTCCTGAGAAAACAAGAAGCAGCGGTGGCCGGGCTCGGGGCTTGCTGGGCTCATGCTCTCTAAGCTTCAGGGGGCAGGGGGAGCACGGTCCACTGTCCTCCAGGACCCACGGAAGCAACCCCAACCCCGGGGCGGACCGAGCAGCCAGGCCGCAGCCTTCCCAGGGTGGTCACAGCCACTCAGTGGGACAAAGACGTCAACTCCGCACCATGGGAGAGGTCACATCATGTCATTTCTGGCACCCAGTCTAATTCATGCAGGAATTTTTTTCTAAAGATTTATTTAATTTTACTTATTATTATTTTTTATTTGTTGTAGGGCATACATGCTCCCCAGAGATAGGCGAAAGGGAAAATGAGAAAGCAAGCCACCAGGCCCAGGGCTTGAACCACAGTCACCCATGTGGGAGTCCGGCACCTTCCCCACACCTCCTCCTGGCCCCGTACCCAGTCTAATTCGAACAGTGCGTTGGCCGACAGTGACTCAGAAGTGACCTGCCATCCGGTAGGCCTGTGAAATCGGAGCCGAGGCTGAGATGCCTCCAGGGTCAAGTAATGGGTCCATTTCAGAGCTGGCAGGGGCTGCCCAAGGTGCCCGGGGACGGAGAGCCCGCAGGCCCGCACGGGCCCAACCAGTCTCTGGGGCCAGAGACTCCCAAGAGAACCTGAAGCCCAGGGATGGTTCTGGAGCAGCTGCTTCTACCACGTTAAATTCATACACTTCCCAGCCCCCTTCCCAGTGAGAACGCAGTAGATACACACACTGGAGCCAGGCTGGCTTTCATTTTGTTTTCTTTCTGTCTAAAGGGAACAAAATAGACCACAGACCTTCACATGAACACACGCAACGAAAGGTCACCGTGTACATACGTGTATCCGTTTCCGGCGATCATGTCAGCCATGTACCTAGTGTTGGGCAACTGCCAGCCGAATATGTCCTGGATGACAATCACAGCTTTGCCTGCGTCGACAGGGGACCGGGTGACATAAGCCTTGATGTGCTCGACTTGAACTTCCTGCCCCATGCCGCCATACTCCATTCGGTGGCCGATGTCACAGGGGCAGGGATAAGCCTCGTTAGCCAGGGATAAGCCTCTTTAGCCATGGCGGGCGTGCGAGTCGGGCTGTGGAGAGAAACCACATCGTGTTCTGAAGGCTGCACATCTACACACGGCGAACGGGATGCACACCGAAGTCAGGCAGGCAGACAAAAACTGATTTCTTTTTCTTTTTTTTAGGTTTCTGCCATCGGGCACATGCACTCATCAAAGACTGACAGAGAGGGAAAGTGAGAAGTCAACTCCCAGCGGGGATGGCCGCGCCGCCATCCCTTCTCCTCTTGGGATTTTGGGCACGCATGCACACACACCCGGAGTGATTTTCAAGCCACTGGGTCTGGACTTGAACAGCATCCAGGCATGTAGGAACCCAGAACTCCAACCACCACACCACCTGCTGGCTCTCAAAAATTATCTCTTCGGGCCAGCAGGTGGTTAAGGACACTTGACTCCCACATGGCCGACTGCAGTTTGAATCCCAGACCCAGTGGCTTTCTTTCTCACTTTCTCTCTGTCTCACTCTGTCCCTCTCTGGTCAAATTAAAATAAGTAAATAGGGACCAGCAGCTGGCGTAATGGCTATGTCGCTGGACTCCCATGTAGTCAACCACGGTTTGAGTCCTGGACCTGGTGGCATAAACTCACGCTGAGTGCACGTGCGTGTGTGCCCAAGATCCCAAGAGGAGAATGGAGAAGGGACTGCAGTATGGCCATCCCCTCTGGGGGATGGTTTCTTGCTTTCTGTCTCTCTGCCACCGGCGCCATATAAAAAAAAAAAAAAAAAAAAAAAAAAAAAAAAAAAAAAAACCTAACCCCAAAGAAAGTAAATAAGTACATAAAGTTAAGTAAAATAATTCTTTTTAAAAATTTCCTTTTAATTACATCTATGGCATTATTACGTAAGAAATCAATAGTGAGCTCTGGTCCTAGTGATACTACAGCTAAGGCTAAGGAGGATCACCCCCACTGCAAACCCCAGAAATGCCAGAGGGAAACCACCACTTACTAACACAAGCTCTCAGGAACCAGCAGTTAGCGTAATGGCTATGTCGCTGGACTCCCACGTAGTCGACCGCGGTTCGTGTCCCAGACCTGGTGGCTTAGAACTCACGCCAGGCGCGTGTGCGTGCGTGCCCAAGATCCCAAGAGGAGAATGGAGGAGAAGGGATTGTGCCGTGACCATCCCCCCTGGGGGGTGATTTCTCGCTTTCTCTCTCTATGTCTCTCTCTGTCTGTCTGGCAAGCACACGCGCCCTATAGCAAAAAAAACCTCTCAAAACACACACAAACACACACACGAGCTCTCAGAGAACAAGGAACTCCCAGAGCCAGGATCACAGAGGGTGTTAAAAGCCAGAGTCAAGACGACCCCCGCAGTGTGTAAAGAGCCTAGAAATGGTGGGGGGGCTGGGCCAGCCTTAGACCCACGTCCTAACGATCAGGTGCTTGGGACTGTGTGTCCTGTGAAGCTTTGGGACCACATGATACAGTGATTGGTCCCTGAGATCCACCCTGCAATGTCAGAGCCCTCCAGGACTCACACCCGGGGGCAAAGGGGTCCCAAACAAAGCAAGATAAGCTCTACCATGCAGTAAGGGGAATCACCAAGAAGCCCCTCGCTCTGAGCCAGCAGGCGATGTGGACGGTAAGGGGGCCAGATCCCACACGAGGCCGACTGTGCATTCAAGCACCGGACCTGCTGGCTTAGGAAACATGCTGGTGTGTGTGCGAGTGTGCCCAAGTGATTGTGGCAGAAGTGATTGTGGCACGGCCATCCCCCCTGCCCCCGAGTGGGCGGCATTCTCACTTTCTGTCTCTCTCTGGCAAATGCATATGTCTATTGCAAACTTGGAAGGAAAAAAGATAGCGAGAGAGAGATTTTGGGAACAACTGGGGGAGTTAAAGGAGATGATAGTTGATGTTGTGAATTAGTATCATTTTCTAAGATGTGGTCTAACAGCCACGTAGGAGAATGTCCCTATTTTTAAAAGACGTGTGTCTAATCTCTAGGGGATGAAGTGGCGTAACGTCTGCACTTTGCTCTCAAATAGGTTGTAAAATACGCATGTGGACACGTGACCCAAGATGGCACACGGCCAGTAAGGGGCCAGCACATGAGAGCTTGCTACACCGTTCTTAACATTTTTCTGTAATCCAAGTTCTTTCTTTTTTTTTAATACGTTAACATTTTTAAAAAATAATTATTTAATTTTATTTATTCATTCATTTGTTTTTTTAATTTGACCAGAAAGAGACACACAAAGAGAAAGAGTCAGAAAGCAAGCCACCTGGTGGGGGCTTGAACCATGGTTGGCCAAGAGGGAGTGTCCAGTGCCTTAACTACCACACCACCTGCTAGTCCCCTGTAATCCAAGTTCTCACAATGGAAAGTGGGGTAAGGGACTTAATCAAAAATATTCTCTGATCAAAAAAAAAAAAAAAAAAGAAAAAGTCAGGAGTAAATGTCAACTTGGAACAGATAAAATCTGACTATGTCGGGGGCAGCAGGTAGTATAGTGGTTAAGACACTAGACTCCCCTGTGGCCAACTGTGGTTCGAGTCCTGAACCAGGCAGCTTGACAATCATGCTGGGAATGTTAATAAATAAGTAAGTAAATAAATAATAATAAAAAAAAATCATGCTGGGTGCATGTGTGTGTGTGGCCAAAATCCCAAGATGAGAATGGAGAAGAAGAGATGGTGGTGTGGCCATCTCCCCGAGACATAATTTCTCACTTTCTCTCTGTCTCTCCCTAGCAAGCACATGTGCCCTATGGGGAAAAAAAAAAGAGAGAGAGTGAGGGGACAAGAACAGCAAAGATTACTGGAAGAAAATGAAGGAGACTGCTACCTTATCTGACAATGAAACCTGTTGGTTTTTTTTTTAGACAGATTTTTGCGTTAGGGTACATACACTCACCAGAGAGACAGAGAGACAGAAAGCAAGAAATCACCCCCCAAGGGGGATGACCATGCTGCAATCCCTTCTCCTCCATTCTCCTCTCGGGATTTTGGCCATGAAGGCACTTGCGCCCGGCGTGATTTTTTAAGTTGTCAAGTTCAGGACTCTTAACTGTGAAGCCGGCCATGTAGGATACAGCGCCTTAATCTCCTCGTTTGTTTTTAATTTGCTAGAGGGTGCATGGGTTCGACTGAGATGGGCCAGGGATGAGGGTGAGTGAGAAAGCACCTCGTGGGGAATGGTCACATCACTACCCTTTTGGAATTCAGGGCACACATGCACAAGGGCCCAGTGTACTTTTTCTTTTTCTTTATCTTTTTTTTTTTAGAGGTTTTTGCTATAGGGCGCGTGCGCTCGCCAGACAGACAGAGAGAGACAGAGAGACAGAAAGCGAGAAATCACCCCCCAGGGGGGATAGCCACACCGCAATCCCTTCTCCTCCATTCTCCTCTCGGGATCTTGGGCACGCACGCACACGCACCTGGCATGAGTTTTAAGCCACTGGGTCCCAGACACGAACCGTGGTCGACTACGTGGGAGTCCAGCGACATAGCCATTACGCTAACTGCTGGTCCCTCTTTTTCTTTTTTTAAGAGAAATTTTTGCTCTAGGGCATGTGTACTCAATGTTGAGACAGAGACAGGGAATCAGAAAGCAAGAAATTACCTCCCGGGGGGATGGCCATACCGCAATCCCTTCCCCTCATTCTCCTCTCGTGTGCACACATGCACATGTGCCCAGCATGAGTTTTAAGCCACCAGGTCCAGGACTGAACCACGGTCAATGCAAGTCCAGTGACATAATCATTATGCTATCTGCTGGTCCTGCCCACTGTATTTATTTTTAAGCTTCCGGGTCCAGGACTGGAACCTCACAATCAGCCATGTGAGATCCAGCTGCCTCAGCCACCACATCGCCGACGGGGCTGGTATTAGGTTTTGGGGAGAAAGAAATGAATAACTAGTTATTCGCTCAAGGCCAACCGGACTGTTTCTTGCTTTGATATTGCATGCTGCACGATCAGACTATTCCCAGTAAGAGATGCCCTGGCCCCTCCATGCCAACGGCAGTCGGTTTATACCCTCCTGCACAGTGTTGTTGAGAACGGAGTCCCCGGCTGATACCTTGGCCGGCTACCCTGCAACGGCCCAGGGGCCACAGGAAGTCCTGGCCGTTGGAAAGCAGCCTCTAATCTGGACCTTTGTTTTTAACTTTCCCTCCAGTTGATATGTACCTTCCAAAGTGATGTTGTAGCCAGCAGAGCAGCTCTGTGGCCGGAGCTGCATGCTTATTCTCCCAAGAAAGGGTGGCAGCCAGGAGAGGCCTGGGCGAGCTCACATCATACGCTGGTGGCTGGACTCCTGCCCAGACCTTCACGTGGCTACGCAGCCAGGCCAAGCCCATGTCAGGGTCGAGTCCAGAGGCTCAGGGCGGGCAGACTGTTGACTGGCCTGTGGGCCCTGGCAAGTTCCAGGGAACTACCTTGACCCTTGCCTGACTGTACTGTAAGTTCACTTTCTGTATATAATATCTTCCAGTGTTTTTGCTTTTCCTCCCCCTCAGACCACATTTATGAAAATACACATTATGAAAAATTTTCAGGAGGAAAATAACAGATATAAAAAATGAACACTGTTAAGGATTTAATTTTACTCAGATAATAGAAGCAATGAAGAAGATGTTCTAACCGGCTTGAAGGAAAGTCAAAAGGGTACAGTTTTTTTCCATAGAGTGCAAGTGCTCATTGGAGAAAGACAGCGAGAAGGAAAGTGAGAAATCACCCCCCAGGGGAGATGGCCACACTGCAATCCCTTTTCCTCCATTCTCCTCTCGGGATTTTGGGCATGCATGCATACCACGCATCTGGCATGATTCTCAAGCTGCTAGGTCCAGGACTTGAACATGGTTGGCCATGTGGGAGCCTCCAAAGGGGTAAAAATTTATATGCCCTGAAGTAATGTTAAGATAAATTGCAAATGGACAAAATACTCCACAGGAGAGAAGGAAGTCAATTCTCTACAGGACCCAAAAGAACTCCAAACCCATCAGTCTGTGTTGCCCACAATGTATAGATTTGCAAAATGGCTCAGATACAACGCACAGGGCTAGAACCAGACAACCCATAAGGTGTGACAGACAACAGGAAACATGTATGTAACAAAACACGTATGTTTCCAATGACAAGCAGTTTCTCCTAACACTATGGAGTCCTCTGTTGGGAAGTCTCTCTGTCTCTAATAAAAAAAAAAATTGGAAAACTTTTTTAAAAACCATGGGGAGGGGGACCAGCAGGTGGCATGCTGGTTAAGGGGCTGGAATTCCCACATGGCTGACCTTGGTTTGAATCCCCGACCTGGCAGCTTGCTCCCT